TGCAGAGACCTGTTCTCACAACCCGGGTGTGTGCCGACGAGACCCCGAGAGGCTGTGGGAAATGGCCCTTCAACAAGCTGGTGTGAAGTGAGTGGGGGGCCGATTGCCTGCAAAGGACCGGAGAACGCCACAGGGGTTGAAGCAGCGTTCGAAGCTCCGAACCGTGCAAGCTCAACCAACCTTTCCCCGGGAGAAGGCTGCTAAACGTAGGAGAGCTCCTGTGATGCAACTTCTGAAGGCAGAACGACCCCCTTTACCTTGAACTTCCCTGAAACTCGGAAGTAGTTCCGGTGCTGCCTTCGGACTTCAAGAGTCTCACACTGTCGAAAAGGCACGGGCCGAAAGGAAACAAGCCATGCGCGTTTTTATCCGCATGGCCAGGCCCGCTTGCCTAGAGTGCGCTTTGTAGAGTGGCTGAAGACAGCCACTCGCCGAGAAACAGTTTCGGGTGCAGATGCCTCGAGTGCCAAAAATCCCCAAAACTCACAATACCCAAGCTAGCCGCTCAGCCCCTGGGAAAGATCTCCGTGCGTCCTAATCCCAATCCCAGAGTTCTGGTTTCAACTGTGGCCACCATGTCCGAAGTTTTGGTGAGACTGGCTGCTGTAAATGCCCGGGAGAGGGAGCTGGACACCCCACTCGCGCACCTTCTGGCAGCCCGAAGCCTATGCACCCGAATACCGAAGACGCACTTCACCCGGGCGCAGACCTTTTTGAAGGCGCGTGGTCTTCCGACAGCACTATACCCTGGCCTGAAAGGGCTTAAAGTTCAGGTGACGAGACTCCGACAGCACTTGGCAGGTCTATTTGCCTGAGTGCTGTGAGAAGGTCCGGCCAAAGTTTCGTGCATTCTCTGGGGCCGCACCCTAGAGGACGACAGCTTGAGCATATCAGGAAAAGGGTTCTGGAGGGTTCAGTCTTGAATCTCGTGTCCAGAAGAACACTCCAGGCTCTTCAATATCCTAGTATTCTCCAAAAACCCACGCAGAGCAGCACAGGTGTAGTTTGCCAGGTACTTTTGCACTGAGGCTGTCTGAGCAGCAAACGGTCAACGCCGCAGTCAGCAAAGGAATGTGTTGCATGAAGAAACTCCGATAAGGATAGCGCACCATGCCCCCGTGCGGGTTGCTGGGTGTTTGCGTGTGTTTAGGTGGGGGCTTACATCTTTCGCCTAGCTGTGTATCGATTCTTATGTGTAGATGTATCTGGATAGATATGGTGAGTTTTCAAAGTGGTGGCTCCCTTTTTTCAAATTTCGGTACCGACTTGCAATAGCAACCCCTAAATGGATCAAATTTTCGAGAAGCGACCTCTATACATACCTGCGGAAAAACATACGCGTATGCACATGACTCTATGTGCTTGCGCGCGCGTTAGTCTGTGCGCCAACAACACCCAGGGCCGGCCTTCCCTTCGACCAGCTCGGCACATTCGCGGCTGCGCCGCTGCTAGCCGAGTACGCCGGATCCCTTGGTTGACCGTTGGGTTAAGGGGAGAGTTAAACGATTAAGGTCGGGGAAGCTTTTTAGAGGTTGTACTCGGCGTACCTGCGTAGTCCGGATTCAAAAAGTGGGGAGGTGGGGCGGGAGGTAGTAGATCACGCATGTGTGTGTGTGTGTGTGTGCGCAGCCGGTTGGCAGCTTGCATGATTGACTTGACATGGCTACACAATTCTCAGTGCCGCAATGGCGCATGCATTCAGGGGTGCGCCTTCCTGCATGGATATGCTTGTCCTGGTGATTTACCTGTATCCGAATATGTGGTGTGCGGTGACCCCTGCTTCCCAAGGAACGTTTGCAGGAGCTGTCCTTACCACAGCTGCAAGAGGAGCCGGCAACTCGGGAAGAAGCTCCTAATAAATCCCCAGCCCCGTAGATTTCCACGTTAACGCGCCCTGCCTCCCAACAGAAAGCCGTTCTACTGGTATTCGAGATAGACCAGGGTTAGTCGGTTAGTCCCGACAAGGTGCAGCCCAAGCGCACTTATTCCCTCGACCTGAAGCTTGACCGAGGTGGCGAAGGTCCTGTACCTGCAACGAGCCTGAGGGCAGTGAGCCCAGGGGCACCAGATGCGGAGATCAGCAGGGTGTCGCTCAAAATTCTTCCGCAGTTCTAGGCTGGAGAGGCTGAGACAGGCAAGGTTCATGGTCATTGCAGGCACTGACATTGCCGTCAAGAAATCGGAGCTGATCCAACGGCGGTGGCCTCAGGTGCTCTGCTAGCAAGGCGGAAGCTGTCACTGAACAAATGCCTGTAGCAAGCTTTATTCGGCATATACAGTACCATACTGGTAGGACAAATGACAGTACTGTACCTATTTGCTGAGGCTGAAGCAGCTTGCCATCTGGAAGGTCCGGACTGGTTCATTCAGAATTTTGTGTGCTTCTATTTGCCCCACCACATGTCGAACACAGCCGACGCTGCCATCCCTAGTTGCACAAGTCGATGAAGACGTGCCTGCGTGCTAGGAGGGGCCTTTGACTTCAGGTCCAGGCACAGTTCCGATGCACGGTGTGACTTGAAGCTTGTTGGCCCAAGCCGGGCTAAGAGCAATGAAGCATCCGATGGCGCTCCAGGCTGGGCGCACAGAGTACAAGTCACGAGAATTGCACTTAACCGGCACCAGTAGCCTTAGACTTTTCCCATGCGCGTCTGCCACCATGCGCCCCCAAAAGCCATGTAGCTCAGAGTGCCCTTGCAGGCCCTCCTTGGGGTGCTTTTGGTGGCCACCGCCCAGGGAGAGGCTCCCCTGGGTTCGGTGTTCAGGCTTTGGGGAGGTGCGTTTTGGAGCCCTGCAACGGAAGATGCAAGGAGGTTGGGTCTCCAGCTCAATTGGACTAACAGTGAGGACTGAGGGGCCTTCGATACATTACGGGCTGAGGAGGGCCCGTCTGGGTCCCCCAAAGGCCTCGAGTGCAGCGCTGCTCCGCGTGGCCTCAGCAGCGGCAGCAGACTCCGAGAGCCTTTGGCTGCTCTTAGGACTATACGATAGCCACCTTCTGTGCTGATTTCTATTCAAAACTCAGGGAATATTTAAGATATCAGTTTATTGAGGTTCTAAGTGGAGTAGAAGTTGGGGGGCATTTGCAGGTTAGCTTTGCGCACTTCAGAGTTCAGGCTTGGGAGTCTAGCTTTGAAGCAGTTTGGCGATTTGTTTTGCGAGCAGCTGTGCTCTTGGTCTTTGCAGCGTGGGTCGTCTCGGCACTCTCTCCAGAAACCTGCGAAGTGCAGGTTTGGCCGTTTGACGCCTCAGCTCCCAAGTCATAAACCCAGCCCTAAACTTTAAAACCCTCAACCCCTAAACCCTAAAACCCTAAACCCCAATCCAGGTGCTCCGATGCGGCCACGGCTTCTTGGGCTGCGGCTCAGAGTTCAAGGGTTCGTTCACAGCTGGTGGGGGTTCGGGCAGCTTCGGGTCAACATAGGGTTTTGTGTTTAGGGTTAGTTTGGGCGGCACTTTTTAACCAAGCGGTCGATTCAGAGTTGATTCAGCCTTTCTTGAGGGGGGGGGGGGGCTTGCAAGATGGCTAATGTGAGAGTCGCTTTTTTAATTGGGGTGGTAGTAGTAATATTCGCCGGGCCAGAGGGCCCCAGCCGAAGACTACTTTCCATTACGGGAGGTTTTCGGGCCGATGTATGTAAACAAGTCTATATAGGGGGGTCCGGTGATAATAATAATGGGGTGGTTATTTGTAAAATTTTTCCGGCCAGGAATTGAAAATTTTACTGAAACTGGCTTAAGAGTTACATTGCAGAGAAGACTTTTCAGCTGAGCTGGCTTGAAAGAGCTCCAAGGCTCAGTCTTTAGAGAAGCAGATCTCGTTTGAGATTGCTTGTCTTCTGAGATTGCTGCAGCTCCAGAGCTGCGAGAACTGCTGTTTCAGGGCTTTTTCTTCAGATGGCCGAGGAGATCTCCATGTCCTCAGATTGGAATCTTAACCGGCCCCCCCCCCCCCCTCCTCCCCGCCGACGCACAGCCAGAACAAATAACCAGAGCCAAGAGGCCACAGAGCGGCGGTCCATTGCAGCAGAGCAGGACAGCACACAGACCAAGTCGGGCCGGCAGAGCAAAAGGAGCTGCAGAGAGCAAGCAGAAGCCTTCAAGACAAAGCAAAGCAGACCCTGACAGCTGACCCCCCCCGACCCCCAGACCCCAGACCCCCAAAATCCTCATCATTGACACCCCGCATTTTTTTCCACCCCTCCAAACCCCGGGGACCAAAACAAGATTGGGGGGGGGGGGTTATTAAAGGGACTCTAACATTAGGCAGCCTCGTTTTCTTCACCCTCAAAACCTTTCTGGCCCCCCGAATAGAAAAAGAAACACAGCAGATCTCACTATTCTCCGGGAACGAGGCCTGTGCACTCCGCTCACACGACCTCAGGGTTTGGAGCAGAAGGGTGACTCACCCGTGCCTCTGCTCCCATGATGGAAGGTCTCGCGTGCCACATGCCTCGGGAAAACGAAGTGCATCCTGGCTGAATCCAGGGCTGCAAGTCATTTGAGCTGAGCTTCGAGGTACTTCTCCCTGTGAGGAGAGTGTGAGAGAGAAGTTAGAACGAACACTATTCCCTTATGGTCCCTTTGTAGTTGTACTAGAATAGCCCTCAAAACCCTATTCTAAGTATTCGTTCTGAATCTCATGGAGGGCGCTTGGAGCATGTGCTTTGGACTTTGGCCCAAACCTAGGTGCCTTCTACGGGTTGTAATGGCATGCGTTCGCCCTCGACAACCACTCCCAGGAATCCCCAATAGTCTGCATTCTTCTTCTTCTTCTTCTTCTTCTTCTTCTTCTTCTTCTTGTTCTTGTTCTGCGACCTTGTCCCGGCTTCAGCAACGCCGGCAGTCCTCTGGTTGCTTTGAAGAGCTGGCGCACCCTGTAGTTGCAATATGTATATACCCCTCACCACCCGAAACGGAAGCCTGCTGAGAATTCTGTGGATTTTTTGTTCGGAGCACTGAACCGTAACAACGGACACCCCCAAGCAGCGAAAACAGGCATGTTCCTTGAGCTGGACAAGCGCAACCTTTGCCTGCCTTGCGAGTGGGGCGGTGCGCCAGTGCCCTGTGTCCCAAAGCGCTTTGGCGTGGACTGCGTCCAATGTAGGCTTTCCAGACGCTTCCGGCTTGTAGATTGCGTGATCTAGATTGGGACATATGCCATGTGCAGCACACTTGTCCAGCTGGGGTTCCCATTCCCGCATGCACGAATTACAGTCTGAGGACCTGAACAGGCTGTAGCCTTTCTTGCTCAGCCTGAGCTTTCTTGAATGACCACATCTTCAATCCTCCTAAACATCTGCAGAAGCTCCCATCATGAAGAGTCGCAAAACCACAGACCTCAAGCCCATAACATCCTGGAGCATCCCAATCCCCACCCAAAGAGACCCTAAGCAAAAGCAAAACCCAGGAATGCGGCCTTCCCTCAGGGGCGCGTGGAGTCCTGCGAGATGAGCTAGAGACTCGAGGGGTGCCAGAGAGGGGGAGGGGCGTGCGGTGCAAGACTCTGTAGTTATTTTCTCAGGAATCGACCTTCTGGGAAGAAAAACACAACATGGGCTGAGCTGCATTGCAGAAGCGCCCAGGCTGCGAGCATCAGCAGCTGGTCTCGAAGGTTTCAGACTGCACTGACGTCAGTGGCGACATCATCAAGGACTACCGTGGACACTTCGGGCTTGCAGAGACGCGACTGTGCGACAGACACAGAACAATGACTCGTGGCAGAGGGTGCTCCAGAACGCATGTTCACACGTTCGTTACCAGGGGCCATCTGCGTTACCGAAATCTTCTTTTCTCAAGGTCGAAGTTTTTTTCTTTTCTGAGTCTGAGTGCCCCCTGCCGCGACACAGGACGACTGCTTTGCCAAAGGCACCAGCGCCGGTATCTCCTGAAGCTTGGCTGCAGAAAGAACAGCGGTGGGTCAGCCAACGTTGAACGAAGTGCTGCTCATGCAGCGTGACGGTGGGCCCTTTCCTGTTAGGGCAGCTGAGCTGCGTGTGAGGGTTTGAAACCAAGGTATGTGGACTGCGTACACGCGCAAGGCGTGTCTTTCCCAGGGGTGCAGGGTTTTAGCTGCTTGGGACTGAGCCTGCAGGATGCCCACATCCAAACCAGTGCCATAGAGGCTTTGAGCTGTCATGGGCAATATGTAGGCCAGCAAGAGGAATGAAGTCAGCATGACATTCTAGGTTCTGAATGCGAGGAAGTTGAGCAATTGAACACATATATGTCTTTAGTAGTTCAGTGTGGTGCCAGTGTTTGCAGTAGTGGTAGTGGCACAGTGGTGTTCGTAGTCAACAATATGACATATTCAATATGATTACAGATGCAAAATAAAGCGATTCATATTCATAGTCAACAACTCGGTTTCGCTGCGACTTTCTTAGGATTTCGTCAGCATGGCACCGAAAGAAAACCTGTAGCCTCATGCAAGCGCCATGTACAACCCTCAGGGGGAAACAGGAGGCACCCCTAGAAGGGAACAGTAATCTTATTCCCCTACCCAAATAACCCCTAACTAACCGCTAAGGTCCCTTCTCAGGGTCCTCTTTTCGTCCCTTGAAACCCTAAACCCTAAACTCCCTAAACCCTAAAAGGATCCCCAAAGGCCCTCTTTTTTCGCAGGATGGCAGCCGCAGGAGCATCTGCGGGCCCTGCAAGGCGCACAGGGCGCAGGGATGTTGAGGGCACTATGTATATGTTAATTAGTATTTATTTATTTATTTATTTATTCATTGTTTATTTACATTTGTTTTTTATTATTCATTTTGATTTACACATGTATATGTCCATACACACATATTTATATATACACATCATATGACTCGTTGAAACTCAACACAGGCTTGGTTTCGGGGTTCTCTGCAAGGCTTCGGAGTGGTGGCCGAAGGATGAGGGTTGGGCCGTGAGAGGAGGTAGCCGTATAAGCCGTACAGAATTTAAACCCTTCACCCAAAAACCGGAACCTAATGCATGTGATTAGCGACATCTCTGACCAGAGATACTGCAGCCGATGTCGTCAGACTCAGTTGTCTCAGATGTGCGGCCCTGTAGCATGCATCGCCCAGCTAGACGTTTGGCATCGGCATGAATCGAAACAGCATCTAAACTTCGATTTAAAACTCCACACCATTAAGACCTGTCCCTGACGCTTCCAAGACTGGTGCCCTGCAGCCCTGCAGAGGTAGACGGGCTGGGCGTTGTTGGCCGATCTGCACCAGGCACTATGGGTCCAGAGCCTGGTCGCCTGGCTAAGTGGAGGTCATGCTACGTCTGGTAGCGTCTGTGTTGCAACTCTGCTTGTAGTAGGTCATATTGAGGTGTAGCAAAGATGTTCGGAAACTGAACTTATAAACATGCCTGAGCCAAGGCAGCTTGGTGGAAGCAAGCAGCTTGGTCCGCCTTGACCCGCTGGTTTGGGAGGTTCGTGTTCAACTACGAACTTGATGTTATCGGTCTTTTTTGAGGGTGCGAAGCTGAGGGGCCGAACCTTAGCTGCTCGCACATCTAGGCAGCTCCCATGGTCGGAAAGACCCTTACACGCAAAAAACGCCCAAGAGACCCCAACAAAGGCCAAGCCCAAGACAACCACCTGCATGATTGCGACAAGTCTCCTGTCGTCTATTGACAGAACCTACAGTGCTCTGACCCCCAAACCCTAAACCCCAAACCCCCCCCCCCCCCAGGCTTCTCCCAGTGCGATGAGCAGCAGCTCGAGGCGGCGAAGCCTTGTATCGACCCAAAGGACTGTCCCAAGGCCGGGGGGGCTCAAAGCTTCTTTTCATCCCACGGCTTTAGGACACCTGTATCCTGCGATGTTTGAGGGATTGGGGAGGCTTTGAGGCTTTGAAGGCGCATCGGAACTTCCGGGAGAAGTCAGCCATGCCATGTGCACAGGCCGTGCCGGATTTGCCGCCGAAGGCACAAGGGACAAGGGAGCTGTAGCCGGTGGCGCGGTGGCCCTTCAGCATACCACAAGATCAAACTACCAAATCTCCTTCCAACATTGTCGACTCGAAGGCGTACGGTGTAAGGTGCATGCAGAGGGGTGGAGAGAGCTAGCCGACAGGGCTGTGCGTCTGAAGCTTCGTAGTGATGCGCGCTTAATTACATGTTGGCATATGCATGGCGCATGCTTGCCAGCTCTCAAAGCTTCTCAGAGTCCTTGCTCGACCAGACCCGTCCTGGAAGGAGGGAGATGAGCCTGCCGTGATGACGGACCTGACCCGCCTAGGCCCATACCCCGGCTGTGCAGGGCTGATTCGGACTTCAGAAGATTGAACCTGGGTCTAGGTGCAGGCTCAGTTCGACTGGCGCAGACGCTTCGGAATTGAAGAGAAACATGGGGATTTCTGGCCTGTTCTACCCTTTCCCAGGCAAGAAGTATTTTTCATGCAGCTCCTCGTTGTTAACAATTTGTAGAGTCCTCACCCCCAGTCACTACAGCCCAAAACGTTAAAGTCTCTGACTTGCGAATTCCCAATTTCCCCTGGCAGAGGGAGACGTGCTGGACAGCATCAGCTCCTCTGTCCCATGTGCCACGCAAGTCATATGCATAAACGTATCATAACATGAGATAACTATCACAAGATCCTGTTGACTGTCCATGGACCTCGAGGTTCTGTTTCAGATTGGGAGTGCAAAAAAGCCTGGAGCCGAACAAAACGAAAGCTACAAACACCTACAACTGGGCCTCCACCAGCATCCCCATAAGCTCTGCGCGACAGTGATGTTGGAGGTCATGGCGGAGGTTTGGGGCTACCAGGAAGTTCAGAAATTGTAGACTTGTAGACGCTCTATTTAACCGTCAATGTAGGCCCCGAACAGCAAGAGGCCATGGCTTAAAGTTCACACACTGCTTGAAAGAATTAGGGCTTGTCCAACCCGAGGAGTCCCGAAACCCAGCATCAGTGCCATGGCCGTCGAAGGCCTGAACACGACAGCAGATGCCCCGGCCTACTATGCGGCGCCCGTGTCTCCACCGTACGGCCGCATGGCCAACAGCCTGTGTGGCATCTACTTGGCATCATGGAGCCACCTGCAGGGTTCTGCTAAGTTCTGGGGGGCTTAGGTGGGCTTTCAGTGCACAGGCCTAAAACTCGCTGAGGAAAGCAGCAGTTCGTGGAGGCTGCGAAGAAGGCCGCCAAGGCTTGGAAGCTGCAATGGAAGCACAACATAATCTCATACAATAAAACAAATAGCAGATATTTATATACATATATATATATATATATATTATAGACACAACAGAATATGCAACACTGTGTGTATATATACAATATACATATATACCCATGATGATCTTACGGGGTTAGGTCGTTGTGCCTAGGCCAATTGGGGTTCAGAATCCTGTGATGCTCACGCGCATTCAGGGCACCATGTGACCTGGTGAGTCCCTGTGCTTTTCACCAGGTATTCATGGCGTCGGCATGCTTTGGGTCGACTTAGGGTCCTAGGCTCTATCGATGCCTCGCCGCACGAACTTTGAGCTCTTATGTGTTGGATACCCCAAGCCCCCAAGTCAGGGTTGTTGTCCAGGTGTTCCCCCAAGAAGACTCACAGGAGGGCTTATGAAGCGAAACAACAAATCTTCAGCAGTTTTTCCAGACTTGGGTGTACTTTCATGGGTCTAAGAGTCTAAGAGGAGATGTTCGACGTTCGAAGAAAGAAACGAAGAGCTCTTTTGCAGGCGGCCGGCTGGAAGTCGGAGGTCGGCGATGTAACCTCTGTGGATGTGGCGTTCGTGGAGCCTGGGGAGACCTGCCCGCAGCCGGGGTCGGCTCGATGCTGCTTTTAGGTTCTTCTTTCAAGGGTTTAGGGTTTATAAGGTTTAGGGTTTAGGCTTTAGGGTTTAGGGTTTAGGGTTAGGAGGGTTTGGAGGCGTCATGTTTCGTGAGGACGGCTTGGGTCTCGTAACTCCAGGTCTCGGGGTTCAGTTTACGCTGTTCCGCGGCGAGGCATGCCGTGTGAAGAGCCGTGCTTCGAAACTGAGTACAGCGGCACAGCTTTGATTTGCATGCACAAAAATGCAAAACAAAACATTGCAGTTTTCCGAAGCCAGGAGGGGCCCAAACTTCCCGCCGACATCAAGTCGAAGAAGGTGCCAGGGGGAAGGTGCATGTCGACCAGCTTACCGTTTGAATTTCTGCTCTTAGCATTGTTGTAGCTGTTCGAGAGCCCGGGGGCGGGGGGGGGGTTGACAGCCGCAGGCACATTGCTCTCATGACCTGGCACATTGATCCAGCTAGGCAAGTGGCAAACAAGGACGAAAGACACGAACATCACAATCCGGAGCCCAAATACGTCGAACTCCTTCGGGCCCTGCCCCAGGTTTCGCCATTGCCAGGGCTTCTTTTCCCTGTCCCCACCTTCAGGCAGCCTCCTGGCTCAGACTTTTTGATCTTTGATCTCCGCAGTCCAGCGTCCTTAGCCTGATAACCCAAGACCTGATACCTCCTGCCCCCCCCCCCCCCTCTCCCCCCCGGCCCAAAAAGCAAAAAGTTGCGGCGTTTAACCGGACCTCCCCGAAACCCCCAGTACTAAAGCTACTTGAAAATCAGGGAGGCTCAGGCTTCCGTATTGTTTCGTAGAATTTGGGAAGAACAAATGAAGCCATAGCACGCCAATACCCTTACGGGTGTTTTGATCGAGTTACGGGGTGTGTTTCCCTCTCATTGTTGTGTAAGTGCCCTAACTTGCAGATACGATTGTGTAGGAACTTGACAGTTCACAGAGGGGGACAGGGAGAGACCTGCGCTCCATCTACAGCTCCTTCTTGTTGATCATTCTGCTGGGTGCAAGCCGCGCTTTAGGTTCGTAGCTTGGGGTACAGAGATCTGTGCGGTCGGTGTATACAAGGTCCCAAAGTCCAGGGGCCATGCGGGCTGAGGATTGCGGATGCACGACGTTGTCAGAAAAAGTCAAGATGTTCGAGACGTTAAGTCATGTTAAGTCCGTTAAGTGGTTGGAAAGAACTCTGGCAAGGTCCCCGGGAAACAGCGCGATTCTGGCAGAGCCAGGCGGGGTTTGCTCAGTGCGGACTTGTGTTTTGACGAAGGGCCATCTCAGGACCGAATCAACACCTGAGCCAGGACATGTACTCGAAAGTCTCAACTCTGAGCCCGAAAGCCTTGCCACATTTAATCCGTATGATTCCTTGGGATTCCCTGGGTGCCCCAAGCTCTGAGAACACATCTCCGAAGCTTAGAACCCGAAACCTTTCGGAAAAGCTCAACATCTGATATGTTGCTCAAGGCAGAGCGTGCCAACCTCAAGCATGCTTTACAGGGTGGGTGAAAGCCTGCAAACACGCCCATCTTTTTCCATTTTCATATGCATCCCCGGGAACCACTGGCAGGGTGTGGTATGTGAAGCGATGTTTACCTGTAGTAAAACTAGTAGTGTTGTGATTGATTATTTAAATGTGGTTCGCAATGCCTCCCCCCCGCCAGTTTGTGGTGCCATGCAGAGTGGTACCTATAAACCTTATAAAGCCTAAACCTTCAACCACACCCCTGGGCCAGGCGACTCCTTCATTCCCAAAGTCATCGTTCCTGATCCTCAGTCGCTCGGGGCATTGGGCCTTTTGGCTTTGGGGCTTCGAGGGGGGTAGCGGGCTGAGGGGCTTGAGGCAACACTAGACTCAGCACAAGGCCTCAAGCCTAATCAACCTGCACGGCGACAGAAACTCTTCAATCACCAAACCCTGTAAAGCGGAGAGTCTCCCATCCTTTAACACCTAGAACCCTGAAGCTGTAACACCCTATGTAGCGCCCATGAAGCCCTCGACTCTAGACATAGACCCTATAACCCCCTTATACTGCATGATAGTACCCCCTATTAGAATTCCTATGAAGGACTGTTAGTATAAGGGGGAACATCCTAACCCTAAATCCCTAAACCCTTACCTATAAGCTCTATAAAGAACCACCCGATGGCCGGGATGTTGGGGACATCACCTCAGCAGCTCACCAACATTTGCAAGGGGGAAGTTTGGCGGCGGAGGATGGTCGTGGGTTTAGGGTTGATAGGGTTTAGGGTTTAGGGTTAGGGTTTAGGGTTTAGGGTTTAGGGTTTAGGGTTTAGGGTTTAGGGTTTAGGGTTTAGGGTTTAGGGTTTAGGGTTTAGGGTTTAGTCGTCTCCTGACGCGAGTGCACTCCTGGGCACAGGTCCCTCCTGCAGGAGCAGGAGTCCAGCAGCAAGAGACGCCTGCGCAAGCAACCCTGAGTTGGCACCGAGGGAACACTGGGTTTAGGGTTTATAGGGTTTAGGGTTTAGGGTCACCGAGCAGATCTCTTGCAAAGCTGTTACTGGGGGGTTCTCTTGTTACTGTGGGAATTTGTACAGGCTTGCTGTCTCTGTAGGGTCTTCCTCTCCCCCTTACTCTGTGACAGTCACCTGCTGTCAAGTCTATTTGCGCAGCAAAAAGAGATGCGATGTTGAGACAGATCCTGCAGTGTCCAGTGCTTTCATTGTTGGCCTAGGGCAAACAGAAACCCTGCAGCCACACTCAATGGCTTGACTTCCGAGAACACCCTTCAGGGTTGCCCCCAGCAGTCCAGCCGCAAATGAATCTATTACTAGTAGTTTTCCCTTATGGTTCCTGTATACATTTATAAATATACTATGATACCCCCCAAAACCCTATTCAAATCATTAAGGCTCCTAAGGCCCCCATGGTAGGGACTGGCTTCCTGTGAGGCGCTGCCAGTCTCGGCGGTCCAGGACGAGTGCGCATGCCTCGGTCTGGGTTCAAGGACAGTTTGAGGCGGGAGTGTCAATCATCTCCCGTCCAAGCTGTACGTACTCTGATCCAACTAGGATCTTGCTCAGGCTCTTCCAGGCTTCGAAAAGCCTGAATCCTAAAACTCCTAAAGCCCTGTGAGCCTTCCAAAGCGCAAAAGCCCTTAACGAGCCCATAAGCGCCCCTCAATCCCTCTCCGAACATCGAAATCTTGGGCCGAAAAGTGAGGTCGAAGCTCCCATCTGTATCGCTGCATAGATCTAACAACAGACTCGAAGGGATTCACTGGAGTAGGGGCCCAGGAAAGGAAGCATGATGCATGCACAGGCGTTTGGGGGCCTGGACCACTCTTCTTCTGCAACGTTTGCGGTTTTTTTTTGGCTCCAGCGCCGCTCTGTAAGCGGCGGCGCGCCGACTCGCGCCGATTGCAAACGACCGAACCGTGGCCCTCACCTGGGCTGCGTGGACCGCAAGGGGCCTGTTGCTAGATTAATATAGTTCCATATATATATATATAATAGAGAGAGAGAGAGGCACAGATAGACAGAACGAGAGCGAGGGAGAGCTAAAGTAGTGTCAAACTGCACATCTCAAACTGAGGGAGAGAGAGAGAGTGGGATCATGATGGATGTGGTTTTCTTGTACTTCGTGTAAGTGGAGATGTCGGTATCGTCGTGGAACGCTTAAACCCTCGACCCCTTTCGCTGTTGTTTTCACCATGAGGGGGCCCGTGAGAAGCACGGCAGCCCAAACAAACGGAGCATCGGGCATTGCGCGCCCCTTGGGGCAGCTCCCTTGCGGGGGGGCTAAACGTGCAGAGGGGGAGAGGGAGGAGGGAGAGGGAGAGGGAGGTCTCACAGCGAAGGGGGCTACACCTGGAATCGTGTTAGCAAGGGGCCCTGATTTCACGGTATGGTAGGTTTAGGGTGAGAGGCCCGAATGCAGCATCACAATTTCGACAAAGGAGAGCAGAGGGGGTGCAAAATCGGCAGGGCTGAATATGAGGGCAAGGCGTAGCTGGCTGTAGCCAGAAGCAGGGGGGGGGGGGGGGTCGGGCCGCAGATGTGTGTTGCCTGAGTTCAACTGACTTACCCCGAAGATCCAGGGCGGGGCGTTCTCGCCCGAAGCTCGACCCCATGCACCACCGAAACGAAAGAACCTCCCCCATCAAAAATACGATTGCAGTGGTTGCTACGCTAATAATAAGACTTCTAAAATGCGAGAGCCAGAAGCCTTTACATTTTTGATGTTTTCAACGGGCTTTGGCTCTGATGGCTCACTCATCAGTCATTAAATGACTTCGTGCGTTCACTTCGCTCCTTGCAAGCCACTAGATGTGGTGAGTGAGCTAAAAGGGCCTGTGATTAGATCTGCCCTTTTTTCGCGATATGAAAGGCCAAGTGCTCAGGGATTGTTAAGGGAATCACGGATAATTCTGTTTTTTGAGAGACCAGGGTAGTGACAGTGAGGGAGTCATTACACGCCTCATGCTGGACGGAACTTACTTGTCAAGAATTTGTTTGCTACCATAGGACCTTTCCTAATATCACAGCCGCCTTGTGCAAAAGCCCTTCAAAAAGCCAAAATACAAGCGACAAACGAATGGAATGAGAGCGCCACGGAGCATCTAAGGTTTTGGGTGTCCTCCATGTTGGCGCCTCGCTGCATCTTCCTCTTTCTAGCATCTGGGCTTTAAGGCTGTTTGGGAGGTTCGGCTCGGTTTGTTTCACGACAGCCCAGCGGCTCCCGAACTGTTGGATTAGGTTTAGCCCCGCAGTGAAACTTTTCAGGTTTGACCTGATGGTTTCGACATATTAGCAGTTTCCTTGCAAAACGGAAGTGTTTCGTTTGCCGAAGGCTTATTCGAGCCTCGGGGCGCTCGCACTCTACGACCACGAGAGTGAGGACTTTTTGAAGGTTGCAAAATTATATTGTAGTCCTGGCTAACATGATTTCCGTCCCGCACGCTTCACGTCCCAGCAGGCCTTTCAATGACTGTCGAGAGTGAACCTACTTACACAGTCGGGGCGCCTTCGGAAGCAGTTAAACAAAGAGGCAACGCTTTCTCGATGAGATTAGGCGACTGAGCAGTCAAGTTTTTCCTGCACCTAGCTGGGAGCAAACAAGCCTATTCAGTTGGCGATGGATGCTCCATGTTTCAAGCATGTGTCAGTCTTGATAGGGTAATTATGACGGCCAAACATGACGGAGGACATTTTTGTAGACGTTGCGCTGCTGCAGACACAGACATCTGAATCTTGGCTTCATGCGCTCTCCAGCATAAGTTTTTCTGTGGATGGTCAGGAGTCAGGTTGGATGGGCGCCTATGGGGTTTGAGCTTTGTGCGTGTGGGCTCCCGACCTGCATGCTACCTGCCTAGTGGAATGACTCCCCAAGTCGCCTGCAATGTGCCTCGGTCATGCAGGTGAATGCCAACGATGCTACTGGGCGACATGCAAATCGGCAGGCGCCCCGCAGCATCGCGTGCAGATGGGTGCTAGGATCCTAAAACCTTTAAACCCTCGGCGGCGGCCTGGTCCTTGTCATAAATGTCGTGGAAACCTCCAGGCTTAGATGGAGTTCTTGAGCAACCCTAAACCCAGGTTCCTCTGACCCAATGGCGTTGCTATGAAGGAGCCTGGGACTTCCGTGACGAACGGCTCTTCCACATCAAACGCAACCGGCTCAACAAAACCGGATGCCGCAGAGGCAGGTGGCAGCTTGCACATGTCCTCTCTGAGGCCGAGGCCTTTCAAATGCTTGTCTGAAACACACATATCTCCTAAATCCTCAAACTCTTAACCCATCTTAACCCCCCTTAAACCCTACAAATCCCCCAGCCTAACTGCTTATCACGTCACCTTATCGCGGTTTACAAAAAGCAGCTCGAGGATGCCTCTAGGCCTCTAGGCTTTCGGGGTGTCATGCTGCAGACTTCTGCAGGGTATCGTCGTATGGTATTGTAGTATTCTCGTATTTAGTAGTACACAAGTACAGTATGAAAGTATTACTATAGTACCAGTACTATGGCTATTTCGTCTGGCCCAAGAATAGCATGAGGACAGCTCTTTTGGGTTTGTTGTCGAAGCACTTTGAAGCAGGTGTCGGGGGTGGAGACAAACGCAGCTGGAGACTTGGAAACCTTCTTGACGGGACTCGTCACGCCCTCCGTTGGCAAGACAGGGTGTTGGTCCGATTTAGAGCGCTACGCGCCCAGATGCAGTGAGTTCTTGAACTCTTAAGTTGTTGCCGATGCTCATTTCCATTCACGATGTGGAGCCCTCCAGGGTTACCCATGGCAAAGGTGGGCTCTTGAGGTGTGCTTCGCTTGGACAAACCCCACCCCAAGGTGCTGAATGGGAACTTACAGTTAGTTCTCCAACTAATTCATTGCGAGCTTCTAAACCCTAAACCCTAAGCTTTTCTTAAAAGGAACTCTGGAATGGTCGCCGCGTGCATGGTGGGTTTCGTTGTCCTCCGAAGTCGTTATCCTCTCATCTTCTCCTACAACTGCGAGCGGAGCCCCGCAACTTTTCTGCATCTTCATGAGGATGTTCACTTGGCTGTATAAGGTCTGACAATGTCAATATTGGGTTGTAGGTTCTATGGTTTGTCAGAGGCCTGGATGCAGAAGAAGGCCCCATTGTTTTTGCGTTTGGAGTTTGCCTCTTTGAGACTTTAGAGAACTTTAGAGCTTGCTTGCAGAAGCCGAGAGCCTCACCCCAAAGGACGTCATGAAGATCGTGGGCGAACAAAAGGTGAGAATCAATCAATCTTGCAGCCCCAGCAGCGGAACCTGCAACCGAATGATCATTTGTCGCAAAAGCCAGCAGCCCCTTCGAGAGTCGTGCCGGTCTGCAATGCGGACAGGAACTGAACTGTCCGCAGAGTCTGCCAAAGCAAGCTGCGCAAACACACACGCACACACACACACACACACACACAACCGCAAGCTTGCCCTCGACGTACTGTACTGCCCGACTAGCTAAGCGGCTCACACATGTGCTTGCTCCTGAAGGCCGCAGCTATTTACACAAGGTTCCGTTCTTTGGAAGAAGCGGTCTCGACTTTCTTGGCGGTGTGCACGACGCCCGCTAGACTGTGGAATCTTGACGTCGTGTCAACATCGCAAAACCAAGGTGTGTTTGCGCCGTCCATGTCTATGTCTCGCTCGCACGACAGACATGCACGCTTCGTGAGTGACACTTGCGATGTTCATGTCACTGTCTTACGTTGTTTGGGGGGGCCTACAGTGGAAATAGTTCAACATAGTACGCATAGTCAAGAGATACAAAGTGGTTGCTTCAGGTAGACGAAACAGTACAAGCATGCTCTTCGTTGATATTGAGTTGCCGGGGCAGCAAGGAAGAGATTCGAGTTCCAGACACGCCCGCTGCTTGGATGCATTGAAGGTGAGGCTTTGGTGGCTCGGGGAATGACCAGGATGGGCTATTAGGCCTCATGGTCCTGAGAATCCGGCCGTTTTAAGGGGCAAAAGGGTATAGCAGCCCCCAGAATCCACCCTATCAGGGGCCAAAATTCAGGGGGTTAAAGGGTACGAATGGTACCACTAGCCCATGCTGGGCGTGGTGAGGCTAATGACTGGAGCTCATGGACCACAGCTTCTCTGGCCAAGACGCATGCTGAGCATGCAACTGGGCGACGGATTCCGGCCAAACCACCCAACTTTCAGAAGACTCCTATAGAAGGTCCCCACACTACCTCGAGGGGTTGAGTGCGGGGTTGAATGTTCGGGGGGGATTAGCAAAAACCCCTACGTGACAACATCACCGACACCGACGCCCAATGCCTAATAATACTCCGTAAAATCCGTGCGGGTCGCGGCGGGTGTCTTGCCTAACCTCAATCCGAAATCCATGATGACCACCGCAATGAGTGACGGAATGCAAGTAGGCTTGAGCTTGGCTCCTTCGTCGAGCAGTTGCCTTGCCTGCTCGGTGCGTGTGTGAGCATCGCAACCCATGATGAGGTGAAGTATGCCGGCCTGGATCATGCCATGCTGCTGGAGTTCACTGAAATGTCCAAGCGGATATTGTGGCGGATGCTGGGCTTGTGAAAGCCTGGAGTAAGTGCATGGGGCGAGCTGAACTGGAACCAGTGGGAAATTCAGGATGGCATCCTCATCAAGAAAGTTCTGTGAAGCATGGTTCTAACTCGGTATCACGAGAATGTAGTCTGAATCAGAGCCCTTGATGTGCAGTTGCGAAAAACTGGGGCGCCTTGCGCCTCCAACCTTTACAGGATCGGGATCCCCATGCTCGTGGTCATGGGGACTCTGAACTTCTTCTTCGGTCATGGTGAAGCCGAGAAGGTGGGTTGGATCGTGGTGGGGGTAGATGGATCTAGGGTTCAGCCGGAGCTTCTTCTGCATACTAGGTCTGGGTTAGTAAGTCCGCCGTTTCCTTCTCATAGGTCTTATATACTGCCTGCCAAACTGCAACTTAGGAAATCGGAAACCCTAAGCCCGTAGCCATTTTGGCTCAAGCCGCTCCCAGACGAGTCAACCGCCCCTGGTGTTCGCTTCCACTGTCCAGAAACCTCTAAAAATCATGGCCAGCTTTGCTCCTTTCGACATGGAGGCCCAGAGGGGATACTCAGACTTTCAGGGCATCGGCGAGAAGCAGATGCGCCTGGGCTTCATCCGGAAGGTCTACGGAATCGTTGCGTGCCAAGTGGCGGCCACAGCCCTCACGGCTGCCTTGTGCGCGGGCCCGTTCCGTCCCACAATCGTCGGCTTCGTTGTGCACTGGCCCTCTGCCTTCAAGTGGGGATCTCTGTTGGCTACTGGTTTGGCCCTCTTCATCTGCTATGCAGGCAAGAACTCTTACCCCTTGAACTTCTTCGGCCTTACCTTTCTGACTGCCGTCATGTCCCTGGATGTTGGCGTGATGGCTGCCGTTGCAAGTGCCATGGGGATGGGGGCCTTGGTGGCGCAGGCCGCGGTCATCACCGCACTTCTGGTGACGGGGCTCACGATCTACACCTTCCGCTCCAAGCGCGACTTCTCATTCCTTGGCGCGGCTCTGTGGCCGCTGACCTTCGGCCTCTTTGCCTTCGGCCTGCTGAGCTGCTTCTTCCCATCCCTGCACACGGGCATCCTCGGCCTCATCGTCTCCTTCGCAGGTGCCGCCATCTTCTGCGCATATCTGGTCTACGACACCTGGCGCATCGCCAACGAGCTCCAGGTGGATGACTATGTGGAGGGCGCCATCCAGCTGTACATGGACATCATCAACCTCTTCATGTACATCCTTGACATCCTAATGCAGCTCAACAAGGGGCAGAACGAGTGAGCAGGGCACCTCACGGAAAGCAGGCGGTGTGCAATTTTCCTGAGACTGCAGTCGCCTGAGCGGGTGGCACCACCTGAGCCTCAAATTGTGGAGCCTGTAAAGTCTATCGAAGCCCTATAGGCTTAGGAGCCTTTGCTGCCCATGGAGCCCTGCATCTCACGGTCTTAAAGCCAAAGCCCTTGTAGCAAAGAGTGGTGTTGCAACCCTTCTATCGCAAGGTGTAGGTCCAGGTGTCCAACCCGGAAATCCTTGACCAATTCGCGCAGATTGCGTGGGCGGAGGCACAAGGGGGGAACCATTTCGTCGATTCCCCAGATTCCTTGGATGGGAGGAGTTCAGCGCAGACCCGCATTCAGGTGCAACAACTCTTGACTGTGGTCATGGGGATCGCATTTTGGTCGGTTCCTCCCGCAGCCTTGTACAGTCTGCACCAGTGGCGTCCACACAGTGCACGGTGCAGTATAGTTCTGCCAGGCCATGTTAAACAGAGAGTCAGATTCAGCCATTTGTAGCCGGCAGTGACGCTGCCACGGCAGCTGTTCCCTGCTGCAGCAGTGCTGTCCGCTTTGCAAACTTCGACGTTGACAGACTAGTGAGCCTTCCTGTCGAGGAGCGCGCAGCATTGTTGCAGGTACTCTCCGTACCAGACCCGTCCCCAGCAGAACAGGGAGCAAAGCAAAAACAGACGCTTGCCGAGTGCTCTATCGTATAGGCTCCCTAGACTCGACAAGCTCCTTCAAAAGAGAGTCCTCGCGCCTCGAGTTTTTTTGGGGCTCGCTTCGCTGCCCCAAGCAGGCCCGGACAGGGCGCCAATTGCTGCACAACCCTCTCGTTCCTGTTTTCAAGTGGTGCTCCTTTGGAGAGGGTTTGGGAACTGACACCCAACGCTCCAGACCTGTATGGAGCCAGGCCGAACTACATGCTACCAACACCCTCGCCTCGAGAAACTCTTTCATTCTCAGCCCCATGCAGGTTGGAGACAACCTCAGCCGAGCCTTGGTGTTGATAGGGTTTATGGTACAGTGTTTGGGGTTCAGGGTTTAGGGTTCAGGGTTTAGGGTTTTGGGGTTTAGGGTTTATAGGGTTTAGGGGCTTCGAGGATGTTCGAGGTGAGCGACCCACGGCTTCCTTCACCTCACTAAACGTTGGACAAGGTTGTTTCCGGTTTCTGGGGGACGAGGTAAGAACCACCGGTAGAACTCCATGATGCCCCCAAGACTTCCACGTAGCGTTCCATGATTGAAAGAGACCCTACTTGTGAGGCGATGTAGCGTCATGTAGCGTCCAAAGTGTAACGAGATATCAGACCGCAGTAAGACATGGCGTTCGCTAACCCCAGCCACAACTTAATCTTAGAGCACGGCAAGCCTGAATGTCCAAGAAACGGGCACCTCTTGGCCTCTGCACCATGTTTGTTGCATTTTGTCGTTCTTGCCTTTACACTCGGGTTTGTGCGGGCATGTTTCCGCGTGGCTCGCCAGGCCTTCTTTGTAAGCCGCAAGGCTTAGACATTTTCGACTTCCTTGCTTGACATTTTCTGTGGTGCCGGTCATGCTCCACAAAACCATGAGTCGTGGGGGACACCAACAGAACATTACCCCACCGCTCCGTGTCCGTGACAAAAAAATGAGGGTGCCGTGCTTTAATCGTATGCATGCCATAGCCCTTCCCCGTTCCTTCACGATGCTTTGAGAAGTCAATTCCCAGAGGCATGTGTGAAGCATACAGTAGGAGGTAATGAACAAATGTTTGCCCGTAGTATGGGGCAAGCCTTAACTCACAGTCCTCCCAAAGACAGGTGTCTCACATCCGCAGGCGAGTGTTGTTTTGCATGCATCCTGTAGGGGGAATCAACCGTGTCGCAGCCACCAGGAAAAGCTTCTAACCAGACCTCAGTAACGAGTCCGTCCTGGACGAGCTGTAGCGTCGGGAGAGATAGAGAGAGAGAGAGAGAGAGAGAGACAGAGAGCCTCGGGACGGCCCCTAAGGGGGCCAAGTGTGCACCAAGGAAGAGAGGGAGCGAGAAGGAGAAAAGGAAGCAGAAGAAGAAGAAACAGACTTGCAGGAATTGCGATGGGCAATGTTTCCCAGGGCCACCCGTGGCTGCGACTTGGTGGTGCATTTCTTCAGTTGCGAGGACAGCAGCCTAGAGGTCTGATGATGCATTTCCTGTCAAAGAGGCCGAATGCAGCACGGATATCCTAGCATTTTTGGGTTCTCCACTCCCCGGCAACAGGTTCTATGTGTATGGGCCCGTCACCATCCTCGTGGTCTGGGTCGTCCGAAAGGAGCTTGAACCAGCAACCTTGCCCATCCTTGCCCCAAACCTCAAGAGATCCGAACCTTGAGGCGGCGCGGCCTTTGCCCTAAGCTCCCCCAAGTAGAATCTCTCGGAACTGAACCGCAAACCGTGCAAAGCCACGCCCTGCATCACGAAACTTCACGAAACTTCGGAAGGAAACCATGAGCTCCATGCGACGCTTGGCAGATGCCGATTGATTCTCTGTGCCGTTTGCGAAGGGGCTGAAGGTTTTAGTTATTTGCTTTGTTCTTGTTTGTTTATTTCTGTGTTTGAGATGGGAGGGGTTTGAATTTGCGTCTGTGTTCTTTGGGAGCTGGATTGTTACAAACCGTTAAGGTTTTGTATTCCCACTTGAAGCCTTTAGCACCACAACAGCTTTCGCGCCCTCAGCTCAGGTATGTTTTGCAAGTCTCGATTCATTTGGCTGAAGCGCCTAGAGATCCCGCAGGCCTCGACCGTAATGGTCGAAGGCTCGGAATCCGAATCTTGGGTGTGGAGGGGGTCACTTAGGATCATGCATCTGTCAGTCACCCTAAACCCTAACCCTAAACCCTAAACCCGACTCCTCTTCCAAAAGAGGGCGTGTGGTGATTTTCTTTGTCCCTTTGCAATGAGATCTCTCCTCCCCGCTGCTCAAGCCGCAGGCATCCCCGACGAGTACCAGTCGGATGAGAAAGTCCAGGATCGGACACGAAGTCAAGCGCTTCCTCCACACAAACCCCCCCCACCTCCCCCCGGTCGATCCCATTTTTGGCCTTCGTCGACTCCCCCTTTTTAACTTTTTTTTTTACGAAGGCAACAAAAAGGCTCCAGGCTCTCGGCCTTCGTTGAGCTTAATTCGTCTTTTCCTGTGGGCGTCCTGGGGCCTTCGTCGAGCTTCCCCATCGTGCTGCTCGTCCCCCGTCCTGATGCGTTTACCCCTTCATTTTTTCGGCTCTATGTCAAGTTTATTTGGGTGTCAAAGCACGGTGCAGCACCCCCCCCTGAATGCCAGGAGTACTTCAGCCGAATGTTCAGCGCCGGTGACTTGAAGGAAAGACCCTGCTGTTGTGTCGACATGCTTAACAGCTGGAGTTGAGGATTCTGGCTGTAGCATGGCTCGTAGCCTGACCAATCATTACCAGAGAAGGTGTTGCTGTGATGCTTGCCTAGGCCTGCCATGCCTGGTTGGGTTGCCTGCCCCCAAGCCCTAAATCCGCTGCGCCTCGCCTGCTATGGTCGAGTGCGTCCAAACCCACTTCGCGAGGCCGTCCACATTTGCAAGAATATGCCCGAGTTAGAGGCAGCCGCTCGGCGACAGGAGCACGTACGGTCACACACACGCATGTGCCTGCGTTGGAATTTGGCTTCCCTGCACCCGCGCTCTATAATTGGTCCTTTGCTGCAACATGCAGCCCTCGGTAAAAGCCTGCAGTAGCCCTGCACACGTTGTGCTAAGCCTTCACCATGTTCAGCGCCTAAGCCTTGACCACCAGGTCTATGCCGAGCTCCAGGCGGCGGTGTCCGCCCTGGCAAAAGTGGAGCAGGCCCTGAGCACCTAGACGTCAAGAAGCCACTGTTGGAGTCCTCCCTTGACCACAAAGGAGTGGGCGAACGATGGTCAGCCGGTGCCTTCGCAGAGCTTGGTGTACCAGTACAGGCTCTGAGGCCGAGAGTCCAAGAAACCGAACCTGATTGGAAGCCTGCATGCTTTTCCCGCACACGTCACAATCCCGGGTAGCCAAGGTTCGAGTACAGACTCTGTGATCTGACACGATAGCACGTGGCAACGTACTTGGTGCCCATGCGAAGCATTGCGCCAGCGATTTCCCTGCCACGATCAGATCAACCTCACCTTCCTCCCTGCCCTGCTTAGACAACCCTCCAAGGAAACATGTTTGCATGCGGTCCTTCCTGGCTACACTTCCAGTACACAGATCAAGCTACAATTAGGGCTTCCTGAAGCTTGGACAGGGGGCACCCTTCGCGCATGGTTTGTAGTCTTTGGTTTCATTGGTCATCCCACTGGAGAGCATGCCTTTCATTCTGATACAGGTCTGGTTCTCTACAAGCCACATCTACACTTGTTTGGGATTTGGGGCACACAAGGGTTCGGCAGAAACCTCGCGTATTTGAGCTTAGGCCGACAAGCGGCCAACAGTGAAGCCGCTGATGGGCAGCTCGCAAGATGCCATCGATTACTGGAAAGCGAAGGTCGAGGAGAAAAAGCAGGCCGAGAATCCGGTTTCATCTTGTCGCGGATGCTGTTTGGCAGCGAGCACTGGACCTCAAACCCTGAACACCACCGAGTTGCTGGAAGCCCGAGCATTTGCGAGCATTGTGTCACAGGAAGTGGTGCAGTATCGTGAAAGCGTCACGAAGGCCACATGCTTGCAACAGAGGCTATTCAATTCGAGGTTGAAGGGTTATCTTGCAGGCAACCAAGTCCGAGCGCACGCAGAGGGGTCTTGCTTGCGACAGTAATAGGGGCGGTGTCCTCGACCAGCTTGGCGAAAGTCAACCAGCACCTTCAACCAATGTGACCCTATTCGGAGAACTCCAAAGCTCTCCAAAGCTCTAGTGGCAGCGCCCAGAAGCTGTAAGGATGCCAAAGCAGGGGCCGGCGGAGTGCCTGAGTCGCACAAGAATCTCAGAGTGTTTTGGGTTCAGGGTTTAGGGTTTAGGGTTTAGGATGATTTGCGCATAGCTGGCTTTGCGGTGGCGCTGCTCTCAGAGTTCGGCCCCTTCCTCAGTCCTACGGAGGGGTCGTCGGCTCTTTGAGACAAGAGCATCCTTAGTGCACCTTTGAAGTTTCAGTTGGCTTCGGATGCTGGCTTTGTAATAAAGGAATCCTTTTCTATACTGTCTCAAGCTGAAGGTGAACGGGCACTCTGGCTTCGTGACTTTCACAGACTGCCGGAACGCCCGAGTGGCCGCCAGCACCAAGCCGCTTCATCTTGAAGGTATGAAGACTGGATTCCGGTTTAGGGTTGAGGGTTGCCCGGATGCAAGACAGGGTTCAAGTTCAAGTCCCAAGCACGGAGAAGTAGCACGCGTAGGTAAGAGGGAGTATGCTCAAAAACATTCATCTCCAACACGTCGCAGAACTAAGAGCGCTGGGAGTTTTGATCCAATGCCCAAAGCCCTTGCGGAAAGAAAGGTTCTCCGCTGACCGGACGACCTGGCTCGTCTCGCAGGCCCCGGCACCGCAGGACGAGGGGTTCTTGAGTTACAGAGCTTTTGGGTCAGCGACGAGATGCAAAGCATTGAAAGAGGCTTGGCGAGGGCAGAAGGACAGAGGTAGTCATGAGATGCGGGTCGTTGAGGACATCATTTGGTCGGACATGAAGGTGAATGTGGACCTCCGAACCGCCAAGCGGCTGATTGGCTCCTTGACCTAGAGGGTCGAAGCCATGGCCAAAGCGCCTCCAAAATCTTGTCGGCCTTGTAGAGCTGTTCTGCCTGCGACAGTGGAAGTAGTTGACAAGCCTCATCAGTTAGCTCCTTGGTTGTGGCATGTAGCGGCGTTTAAGCCACGGGTCACTGAATCGTCTGAGGATGTCTTCGGCTACGTACTAATTCTGTCCCCTACCATCCATTGATCAATTTGCTTTGTTATGTGTATAGATATACGATGTGATGGCACCCACGGTGGGCCTGACCCCCCCCCCCTTTTTGGGCAATTCCGACTTTGAATTGGCACCCACAGCCCCAAGGACACTACATGTGCTTTGGACCTGAAAACGACAAGCCTATCGAACCCAAGGATACGGGCTGGTGTTTGGCTTGTATGTGGCCTTCACACCGTTCTGTCTGTTTGCTGCTAAGCTGCAACTATTCGGGCTAATGGGCACAGGATTTGAGATATTTGACCAACCGACACGTCCTGGAGAGATCATGCTCGTGGCAGTTGGGATGATCTTGGCCGCCTGGACCCTGCAGCAATGTACCAATCCGACTGTACGTGTCACGTCCGCGCGATTCCGAAAACGCGCGAGCGCAGAAGGTCCCAGAATATCCCGGGCCTGACAGGGCCCGGCAAGAAGGCTGTCTGTGAAAGAAGACCAAAGAGAGTGAGATGCTAATCCCAAACTGCGTCGTAGCACACCAGAAAGCATTCCCGAAGCTCCCCAGCCGAGATCACCAATCTGGCGACGACTATCAACCTTGGCCCATTTCAGTCCCTTTGGGCTGCATCTGTCTTCGCACTGGCCGGGAAGTCTGGATGTGGGTTTAGGGTTTAAGTTCAGGGTTGCTCCTGCTTACGGTTTAGGATTTGGGTGGGAGTGAAAATAGGGCCGTGATTCGTGGGAGGTGAGGGGACGCTACGTAGAACCGCTCCATTACAAGGGCAGGGCTTAAGGTGGAAGATGCAGGGGTGAGTTGAGGATTCAGTTGGCACCTGCTCAGTTCTCTGAGGCATAGGGTTTTAGTGACTTGATCATGAGCTCAGACAATATGCCTCTCTGCAGCAGACGAGCGGTCCCGGGGCACCTGCGAGGGCCCTGGGCGTCACATGACAAGGCTCCTGTCGGAGAAGGGAGAAGACATGCGTAGAAGAGCCGAGGGCTCTTACTTTTGCCACCAGGTTCCTCAAATCTTCAAAACTCCCAGCTACTAGCTTGAGATTGCTGCAAAGGCATACGCCCCAACATTGGGCTTGCTGATCTTCCTCTCGTTTGCGCCCACTGCCACCTGACGGAGCATACCGAGTTCACAGGTTCAAAAGGATGATCCGGGTTGCGAAACACCCACAACGCCCTGTCAAGCACCCGCGCAAACCTGCACTCAGCCCGCAATCACATGTCTCAAAGTTCTGAGCTCGAAATGCCCCAAACACCCACAAGACTCGGAACATCCGGTGGCGTCGGGCCAGCAAGACCTGCCCCGCGGCCTAAGCGAAGCGGACGACACTAGAATACAGAGCAGCGACCCAAAAACGGCCCATCCCATCATTGTTCCAAGCGGCTCCCATATCCCAACCACATCCCTCTCAGATCCCTTTGCCAGGTTCTGATCAACATCTTCTCCTGGCTCTTCAACCTCAAGTCCGAGGCGAAGGGGAGGGAAGGGGGGTTAGGGGTTTTGGTGGGTTTGGGCTCAGGGATGTTCAGGGTGTAGGGTTGAGGGTTGAGGGAGGGTAGGGGTTTGGGGCTTGCAAAGGTTTGTTCGGGCCACTGGGGATTACACGACAAAGCCGCTCGCATCCCAGGTATGGTCGCAACTGGAGCTGCAGAACTGGCAGCTTGGAACACCTGGCTGTTGCTGGAGATCCGTGTGGTAGTATTAGTTGTTTTGTTTCCTGTCGAGGTTTCATTGTTTTTTCCAAGTGCAGTTCATTTTGCACGCGCTTGCTTGGGATCCGTTAAAGCAGCCTTGGGCCGCATTGGAAGAAGGCCATCAACATCATACAGCATGATTGTATGCGCTTGTGTTCGCAAGGATGTGCATCTGCAATTGTTCTCTGGTTGCCATGACGAATCAAAGTCTGTGAATGCACCCAGGTATTTCTGGTTCATGGTCTTCTTTGTGATAGGCGTCACTGTGGTCGGTCAGGACGGCATGCATGACAAGCCCACTGCTGCAACAATAGTACAAGACTAGCGACTACGTAGCTCATCGACGAGGGCCTTCCGAAGAGCTCTGCAACTCTCATTAGCGCCGATCGACGGCTGAAGCGGTGTGGCTTCCAGACCACAATATATTATATATACCAAGCTCTACCCCATGCCAAAGTCAATCCTTCAACCAGGACTTCGTGAACTTCGTGCGACAGGCGGGGTGCTGAGGGGTCAGCCTGCAAGCCTGTACTGCTGCGGGGTGTCATGGCGTGGGGAAGCATGGCCTTCTGCAAGTTGTGAGATCCAGAAGCAAAGTGTAATATTTGGCGTGTAAAACCGTATGAGTAGGAATGAAGATAACATTCATTCCCTTGTGAAAGGATAGGGTAAGTTGTGCAAAAATTCGATGGCGCTAGTGAGGGAAAAGCAGCGAAAGGGGGTTCATGGTCATATGGAGCACAGCCCAGTCTTCAGAACAGCTGGGTAACCCGTCCCTAAGCTCGAACACATATGCCCCAGATCAATGAACGAGCTATCCTGGCTGTTCTGGGCGAGGTTGCCGAAGATCCTCTGAAGCTTCCCATGGTTTTGGCGGAGAAGATTCTTGTTCTCAGACCGGTTCCTGGTTTGAGGGTTGAGTTGGGTGTGACTTGAACAGAACCATGTGTTTCGACGGACGCCAGCTCAGCGGCACAAGGCCGCCAGCGGCAAGAAGCTGCAAGATTCGAACAACAACGCCCTGAACCCGGACAGCCAAGCATCTGAATGGGGTGTACACTATAGGGCTTCAGAGGGCCCGCAGTTCCAAAAAATGCTCCTAGCCCTGGCAAGTTTGCAGAGTGAGTGCTAGGGAAATTCAAGAAGAAGCGGGTGGCATACTCCATGTCACTTGCAGCTTCGATTCGGGACGGACAGCGGGACTTTCTCCATGATAGCCTGATACCCTGAAGCCACGGATGCGACGTAGCGGAGCCGCCCTACCGAGACCTTCCGAAACCCTTGCCTGCCGAACGCCCATAAGGATGCCATCCTCCACCCACTACTACCTCAACTTCCTAGCGCTGCAGTGGGTCACACATGGGATGAACCTGACCCGCTATATCCAGGTGGGGGGGGGGGGCTATCTAACCTTTCCGTAACAAGGGCTGTAGCAGTCCGAACACAATCCTATCTGAGGGCTTGCGGTCGACTTGAAGTCAAGTACTGTTCTACATAAAGAGGGTGTTTGCAAATGTTCGCTTGTGCAGAACGACGAATCCTTCCAACATTGTGTTTGTAAGTGCGTGCTCTGCTCTACCTTTGGTAGCCTAGGATCCGATTATGACTGTGAATGAATGCTTGGAGGAATGCTTGCAGGAATGATCTGGCCTAAAAGCGCCTTGTTCACCGGTTGTTCGTTGTTCGCTTTGAGTAGCGGTCTTGGTCGCCCTGCCGCTTGTTCGTAGGCACAAGTCAGATCCGGAAATCCCCTAAGCCATAGGAAAGTCGAGTGAAACAAAGTACTACGCCGCCTTGCAGAAAAGTGCCAATGCAGGCGAGGAGAGCTACAGGTTGAGTGATACTTTACCTCGTATCATAGGCTTCAAGCACAGACCCCCCAGTCGATGGTAGCAGCTCCGTCCTTCGGAGGTGACCAAGTTCGTGGCCGCATCCAAGATCTGGAGCGAGCAGGAGCGTTTGAAGCCTTAGGCTTTACGAGTATCAGGTTTGGTAGGCGATCAGCAGGCTTTTGAATATATAATGTATATAAATAGATAGGAAAATAAATACAGACAAAAAATATGTACATATATATATATATTTATTTATTTATTTATATTTAGATTTATTTATACTGATATATTAATGTATATGTTTTATATATAATGCATGTAAGCTGCTCGATTTTCAAGATCTTTGGAGAGGACGCCCGCGAGCTGTCAGAGCCGGAGGACCAGGACTACTACGGCATAGGCTCGAGGCCCGCGAGCCCAAGGTCTCAAAGCCTCAAGGCTTCTGTTGGGTTTAGGGTTTAGGGTTTAGGGTTTAGGGTTTAGGGTTTGTACTACTATTTGGCTGAAGAACCGTCCACTATTGCCCTTATAAGGAAGAATATTTAAATTTTGATGCTGTCAGGCGTATGACTAGAGTTTTTGGGCTAGGGTTCCTTCAAAAATTCTGTTTCGTTGTTCAGCTTCCAAGTTGCAGGCATCATAGCTCAGTCCGAGATCTGCAATATTGATATAGTGCATTATATTGTGTTATATCGCATGACATGATATAAATAGAATGTCATATAATAGCGGTTTTAGTTTACGTAGGTCATGCTTGTCAGATTCCAGCTCTCTGCCTAGACCTCTGGATTACTTCCCCTGCTTCTTATATTCTACCAACCACCACCAGAACATTCAGTACTCAAGCAGCAAGTAGATGTAGATGTTTAGGCAGGACTGTAGCCCCCACGTGCAGGAGCGCGAGGTTTACCATCAACCTGCTCATTGCCATGATCTTCGGCACCATCTCGCCACTAATGTACCTCTGCGTTACTTATTCTTTCTGGCTCTTTGCTTACTCCCCCTGGCTCTTTGCAAGGAATGAGATACGATATATAATTCTATGAAGGGTCATATAGGGGTTATAAAGGCATATTTTTTTCCTCTTTCCCTACGAAGCATGGGGCCATCGAAGCACCCAGCAGAGTTCCCACATTGGGGGGGGGGGGGGGGGTGGTTTAGGGTTTAGGCTTTCGGCTTTAGGGTTTGGGGGGGGGGGGGGGGGGGGGGGGGGGGCGCTCCCGAAAGAGAGAAATACTTCGCGCGAGCACGATTACCCAAGACCCCAATTTTCGGAAACACCGCAATAGCATTGTAATTAGAAATTGGCATTGTCTCCCGCCAAGGTCCCTACTAGCCTGGCTGAACTTCTTCATTTGCCGCACTCTCAGACAAGCGTCTGAAAGCGACGAGCAATTCAAGCTATGTAGTTCCTACAGTGCCAGACTTCAGCACAGATCCTGAAGCAGCTCAGGTCGCGTCTTTTATGGATACCTTTTCGTCTATGCAGATTCTCCTTGGCAGATAGCTGCATTGAGTGGAGATTGCCGGAGCGCACTCAACTAGTCAACTACCCAACACACACATATGTATATATATATATATATATACATATATATATATATCTATATATGTCGGCAGCAAATCCGAGTAGAGACGATCTCCTAACCATCACAAACGCACCCCCGAATGCATCCGGGTATATTGGGCATAGTAGCAGACCTGATCTGTCACAGAACTATGGTCATTGACCCAGGGTACCAAAAAAGAGTAGTAAAAGTTGTAGTAGGAGCTGCAGCTTTTTTCGGAAAACATGCCAAGATAGCAGTATTGCAACAGCAATGCATGATAGCATTTATGATGACATAACAGGAGCTATTTACAGAAGGTATTGCCTAAGCCTGAGCAAGTGTACTCTTGCCGAGTTTCTGCATCCTCAGCAGTGATGAGTACGGCAGTCGAAGATAGGCGTTACCGTTATAGCACCAACGTGTATACTGCAGACGGCTTAGTTCCACCGCCGGTAAGTAGTCTCAAAATGGGTTTAGACATGGCCGAACATGAAATACTGCGATGCCGGGCCAGAAGAAGTCGAAGCATCAGAAAAATCACAGGTCGTAACTTCGACGACAGAACTAAAGCCTTGCTGCAAAAGGTGAAGCCTAAACCACCGGTTAAATCGTGTTAAGGCATACGAGAACTAGCCAAGTAAGCACTTTGGGATACTTTTGCCATTCAATCACACCGAGACAACATTGGAGCATCAAGCTAACCGAGCTTCAGAATTTGCGTCAAAAGTGCTTGCGTAGAGCCACACTGCATGCACCATTGCATCAGAGTCAGGAAACGAAGAAGTCTGACTCTGGTGGGTACTTCTTCATCACGCAGCTCCACCATGTGCTGCTCAGCAGGAGAGATCGGACTTGGGTCGTTTTTCGTGGCTGTGTGGTTGCCTCGAGCCCTTAAGTGCACACCCACTCCCTCATTCGAAAGAACGTCCGCCCGGCGCGACGCATGTGTCACTGATTCAAGCACTGGTCCCTGCAGTAGGGGCTAGCGGCTAGCGCGCGTGGCACCAGAGAGCGGCAGGAACACACGGGCCGCGAAGACCACAAATTATGAGGATGTGCAGCTAGCCCTCTCTGTCACCCCGCCTCTCTCCGTCTCTTTGCAGCTCCCCCCTCTTAAAGATGCAAGTCCGTGTTGAAACTCACCCACGTGAGAAGGAGAGGTGCGAACTTAGAGCCAGGGAAGTGTGCGCAAGTTGTGGGGTTTTGGATGTGTTGCTTTTCGTTGAGATGTTGGGAGAGTGTAGATCTCTTGAGTCTCAAGCCCTTTGGATCTGGTGTAGCTCCCCCATGTACGAGTCTCCTTCAGCTACTTCCCGTGATGCATCAGTAGATTCCCTAAACCCTAAACCCTAAACCCTAAACCCTAAACCCATGAACTGTGGGGACTCCAAGGTATGCGGGCCTCATCTTCTATACCTTGCTGATGATTGGCATGTTTCTGGACCCGGGGATGCATGGTTCTTGCTGCCGAAGAGAGCTGTGCTTAGGGTTTAGGGGGTAGAGCTGTCGTTTGCCAAGCAGCAAGCGCACTCCTCCAAGAAAATCAGAACCACCGTCGTAACCTCTCATCGCTACGAGCACCATGTTATCACGCCAGGAGACTGTTGGAACCGAGTCTTCCTTGCTTCCTGTCAAGTCCCACACAAGTTCGCTCCCATTGCGATCGCTGCGTAATTCACAGACTAGCCACAGACTAGCTGGCTAGCCATGGAGCAGCAACCTACAGTGGTGTCTATTACTTCATCACGACTGCAGACATGGCTCTTCGATGCGCAGGTTGCAACGCCAAAGTTTCAACCCGCAACCCCAGCAGCGAATCAAACCGCAACATGCCCCGCTTAACTCACCTGCCCGACTGCTAGTCCTCATTTCCCGACTGGATATGACCCAGCTAGAATCGCCCCACCCCCCCCACCCCCCCCCCCCCCCCCCCCCCCCCCCCCCCCCCTCCCCTCCGAACTGAGCCCTGGACCCACGACCCGACTTGTTGGAGGGGCCAAGGCTGCTTGAGCTTTTCTAGCTTCACGGCCCAGACCCCGAAACGGGCTACAGATTCGGGTCTTGAGATGTTTTTGGGCTGTGGGAGTTATAGGGTGTTTTCATGGTGTGGGGGTTAAACTTCGACAAATCCAGTCCCGGGCGCCGAACTATGTCCCTGCTGGCTTTGGCATTGCGGCGTGCTGCGGCTGGTGGAGCGGTATTCAGGGTTCAGGAAGTCAAGGGTTTTTAGACCTGCAAAGGTTAGCGTTCAACAGGTACAAAGAGAATGGGACTAGTGGCATAAGACGTTTTAGGGATCCATGACCCGGGAGTTCCCTCAAGCCACCAAGAACCAATCCAATCCGATCCCTTAAGTAGATAGCACGCCTACCATGACATTCTGATGTGGCTAGTCATGTGGCCTTGGTGGTTGTTCCTCGGCTGCTGGGCTTGACATCTTGTAGGGACAGGGAGATTACGAGAAGGCGCTTGGGCTCAGTGTTTTGATCGTAAGCAATGTAAAACGAAGTACAGTAAGTGGCCCACCTTCAGGGCCTCAGCAAGGCAGCATCTCAAGTCCCACACCCCGGTTGGCAACTTGGATGTTCAGAGAGCTTTCATGGTAGCTCCCAGCAGCCAAAGGCTTCTGTACGCAGTGCTGTCCTACCGGGCCTTGATGGACTTCGAGTGGGAGAGCCTGCCCTGGGAGGACGTGGGCTCGTAAACTGTGCTTTTGGTGAGCTTGGCATCTCAGTGGGGTTTTGCGTACCTATAGCCTTCCATGGAAGGCAGTAGCAGGTTGGTCTAAGCGCCCGCCACATGCAAAGAGCCACACCTCAGCAGAGATCTTCGGATGCCCTTTGCGACTGTGGGAGCCTGTTGCTATTGCTGCTGGCGATTCGCGAAGCTTTTCAGAAGTCACCACCCCCTCGCCCCTGAAGAAGCTCCCTGAGTCGACGGGTATCATGCGGTAAGACCCACTTTTTTCAGGCGCCCAGAATCGAACTTGCTTTGGGCTTCTTGCGACGCGAGCAACCACCGGCAGTCAGCCATCAAGTGGATGCAAGCTGCCGGCTGATTCGACAGATCTGAGTAAGGAGGGTTCAGTTTCTTCTTCTGGTTGCGGGGCAGTTTGTGACATCGCTGGTATGCGAGCTTGATTTCAGGAGACGAAAAACAAACACGAACCTTCCCACACCACCGAAGGCCGAGACGCAGTTCCATGTGTCTGTCGTACATGACATCGGACCACATAGACCTAACTCGGCATACTGCTAAAAAAAGACCTACAGCTGCATGTTAGGGAACGCTTGTTCAGCACATCGGCCAGCGGTGCCCGAAAGCAGTTGCAAGGAGCTTGCTCCAGATGCAGAAGGGAATGACTTTGTCCCGGAGGCTGCGACATTCGGATTCTTTATACAACTATAGAAGCGTGTGAAGACAATCGGCAGCCAAAGGATTCATGTTCAAGAGTCTTCAGGTTGCGTGCGTGTGCGTATTGAATTAAGCCATACCAAGTCAATCAGAATTTCGCCGGGTGGTTTGCTGTGTTTCGTACCCTGCACCCTGGGATCTACTGCATGAGTGTTTCCTAGAACCTGTTTGAATTTGCTTGAGAAACTCTTTTGGGTAGCTTGGGCTTGGGGTGCTCCGCCGGTTACGGCAGGATTCGGGCAAGACCTACGTGCAGCCAGAGTTGGAGAAGGCTGGCGCGGAAACACGCTGCATTTGGGCTAAAGTTATGGCTAAAGGATGAATAGGGCTTCACAGGCAGGCACCGGAGCGGGCCTGCGATCGCCAAGCTCCCAAAACCATCAACAACCCGAGTCCTAAGTTTTGGCAGCTCAGCATGTATTCCTGCACCATGTCACGCCGTGAATAAGAGTGGAAAGAACCGCCCAACAGGACCTCGATGAGGTGATCAGTGTGGGCCCACAAAGCAAGAGTTGAGCCTTGGCAGCAGGCAGACCTTCCGGGCTCATTTTGTGTGGAGTCCGCGTATTCGGCCGAATTATGGTGCCACGTGACCAGTAGCACATACCAGGACCTAAGAAATCAACATCTGATTGTAAGGCATTTCGAAGGTGGGTCAGGAAAAGCACTTGCAGGCCCACATGAGCTGTGACACGCAGGATCCCGCATGTAAACGTCACAGCTGCAGCTACCCGCAGCCCGCAGCTGCCTCAAGGAGCTTCGAGCTGGCCTGCGACGGCATATCCTGAGCTTACGGCGCCGCTCAGAGTTCTGCAAGTCGGATTCGGGAGGAAGGGTCATGTGTGGTCATGTGACGATCCCCATCGATGTCTTATAGGGGGGATGTAGAAAAAGTTGTGAGCGGTCGGCGAATAGCGGACATTGGCCGCATCGCAGCTCTGATAAGCAACCATAAATATACAAGGCATCTGATGCTGGTAGCTGTGACGGCGGTAGTGCAGTCGAGGCCTTCACGAAACCTGTCAATAAACTGGCAAGCATGCTATAAATCGTGGTTGGACAGCGGGAGAACGCAGCTGCAGCAGGACCCTGTTTAGTGCTGGCAGAGGTGGAAGCGCATCCGTTGGGAAAAAGTGTTTGAGCAAGGCTCTGCTTTTTCAGGGAGGCTTTGCGTTGTCGAGCGGCAGTTGCAAGACAAGTGGCACGAAAGCTGTCAATGTCTATTAGTTAATATTAATTCTTAGTCTTTGCATTGCAGTCAGTGTCAAGCTTGTTTGTCGACGACTTGCAGTTGTTCCTCTCATCCTCGGGCCCAGGGTGGCGGTTGGTAAGATCTGTAGGTAGAGCTGAAAATCAAGATTTCAGGCATGCCTCCGCACGTGCAAGGAATGTTGCACTTAGGCAGAAAGCGTGCTGCCGACGTCGTGGCGGTGTCAGCACAGCGCTCCGGCCGTGCAGGGGCCCTCAGTTGGCGTTCCTTGTGAGGGGCTGGGGCCTGAGGACAGGCTTGCGTCACTTTGTCAGGATCTCAGATCTGCAAGTTATGGGAGCCGAGTTGTGGATTCAGGGTCTCTGGCAAGCCCGTCGCAAAAAGGGTCTGTATGTTTTGCCCCGCCGCAACATGCCGCTCTCGCTGTGAGGCATTGGACCGAGAGGAGCTCATCGAAGCCATGGTCCGCTCCCCATCGGGTTTAGGGTTTAGGGTTTAGGGAGTTTAGGGTTCAAGGTTTAGGGTTTAGGGTTTGTTGCTAAGTTGCTAGACTTTAATTTATCGGAGCAGACCTGGAAGGATGGAGGGCAGCAGTGGAGTTTCAACAGTTCCAGAATCCCTGAATGTTATGGGGGCTAGGAGTCCTAGAGTGCTCACCGTTGCTCCAGGGATGTGGCTTTTGGTGTTTGCGTGTGGACGAACCTAAATTGTTCAGCTGGCTGGCACTCCGCACTCTGAACCTTACCCCTTACCTTCATTACTGTCGTGCTAGGCTCAGAGTTGAAGGGGAGAGGGCGGAGGGGTTCTGTTTTGCAAAACACCCCTCTCGGAGATTCCGGGTTGGTCCTGGATCCCCCTGCCAATCCAGGCCGTGGCAACTTGGGGTGGCACCCTCCGTGGGGAGAAGCTACGGGCTGAATGCGCCGGAGCCTTTGGTGAACACACCTGAGCGAAGCGAACAGCTTCCAGCTGGGCTAAGCTTCCAGCTGGGCTAGTCCAAGCTAGGTTCCTAGTTCGGGTGGCGTTGTATTGCCAATCACAGTGAATCTCTGAAGTCCAGGGGTTTGGGGTTGATTGTGGGGGTTTGCTTGGCCCTTGTGGCAATCAGGAGTTCCAGGTGTAGGGTCCAGCTTCTCGACGCTAACCCCCCCTCCCCCCCCCCTCCCTCCCCCCCAGCACCCGAACCCCAAGCCCTTCAGTACCCTTCACGTAGTTGTCGATTGTCAGCAGCATTTTCATTTCAACCCCTGTCGGCCCCGTGTCTCAAGTCCCCGAAACCCTTCAACCCAAAGGCGTCACCCTCTGAAGACCTCGAAACCCTGGTCGCAGCCCTTTCTGGGAAGCCTCAACACAAGCTCGCTCACTGCCAGAACAGCAGCAGGGCTGAAAGCCCCAAGCCCTGACTGCGCCCCCAATTTAGGGTTTAGGGTTTAGGGGCTTAGCTCCAAAAATTGGTGGCGGGTCTTGAGTTTAGGTGTTGAGGAATAGAGCCCGCCACAGGCTGCCAAGGGTATTCCAATGGAGAAGCTCAGCTACGAGCAAGCGGATGCCCTGCACCACCCTCAGCAGCCAATTGTTGTTCCCGGTTGGGTTTCCTTCCCTTTTTGGGGTTTATAGGGTTCATAGGGTTTAGGGTTTAGGGGGCTCGCAGGTGCTTAGTGAAAGGGGGTGGGGAACGGGAAGACCCTGCAATGCTAGTTGTGGAGCGGGTGTCCCCATGTCGGGGGTCAGTTTAGATCGGACCATCCCTGTGCCCAGGCCCTGGTTGAGTTGCAAAGCCGGTATCCCTCAATCGGCTTCATTTTGGGGCTCTATGACCCACCGCCCCAAGGATGTATTAAATGGCATGAGTATACGTTCCAGCATCTACTTGTACTAGTTTGCGTACTACACTATGTCATAGGGTGCTTACGCGTATGTTACTGCATATGGCGACGGGGAGCTTTTCGGCTTGTGGATTCGCTTGCTTGGACAGCTGGCTCATGAAGTAACTGCCGGAAAGCCGCTGACTTTGCCCGCGATGCAGGAGCCGTTGGTTGCTGATTGAGCATTGAACTCGTGCTAGCTCGAGCCCACCTGTAGCTGGCAGTTCAAATGATGTGTTCGTTGTTCACGTCAGGCCCAACGAATCATTTTAATGCCGGAAGGCCTTCGAACATGTTCGTGTCTTGCTGAGAGGTTCGGTTTCAGAGTCTTCTATAGGTGTTTGTTTACCAGGGTTAAAACAGGTGTGCACAGGCCGCGCGACGCGGTAGCTGTGGACGACTTCTCTTCATGCAGAGGTGTGTGCTGGGTGTGTGGATTCCCGACAAGGTCACCTGTGTTAGAGTTAGAGTAGTTTCTTTCGTCTTCTGTGCTCCCATGCGTGTTTGAGTCTCCAGGAGGGCAAAGGTGGCCTGGAACTCAGAAGCAGGAGTACCGAGGAGAGGAGCACCCTGGGCATCCCCGCTCCCACCGAATCGAGCAGCACCAGAACAACCTATCCTTCACAAGTACCCCAACGCTTACAACGATCGAGTTGTTCTTCTTGCTCTGTCTCGTGCAAAAAGTGACACAGATTCAAGATACCATGCCGTTAAGCTACGCAGAACTCTGGCCAGATATATGCAGAAGTTGTTTTCATCACAATCATGCGAAAATGGATTGCATTTCGGTTTGCTTGCGGCACAACTTGGGATTCAACAAAAGCTTATCAATAATGATACCATTATTTTGACCGTTGAAATTCTTGCTGCTGCTGCTGCTGCTGCTGCTGCTGCTGCTGCTGCTGCTGCTGCTGCTGCTGCTGCTGCTGCTGCTGCTGCTGCCGCTGCTATTGCTAGCTGCTGGGGGCTGATGCTGGTTGTGCTTTATGGAGTACCTACGAGCTCCGAACCTTTTGGCAGAGTCTGTGGATCTTCGTGGTACGCAAGGAAATGCAAGACATGAATGCTGGCTAGGTCAGAATGTCACTCACAGCAAAGGCACCTCGAAAGGAAGGATTTCTGGGTGTGTAGAATGCAAGTCAAGGACTTGGGGTGCAGCCCGACTGCTAAGCTGGCAACTGGGGGCCTAGGCACGTACTACCCGCCGTTTCCTGTGCTGGGACTTGCCAGCGATGGCGGACAGATGCTTGGCGGTTAACCAAGTCACTTCGAAACCTGCGTGGTAGTTCCCTACACACCAATGTAATGATATACGGATATCAAAATTCAACAGTCTACTAATAATGTAATATGCTAATGTATTCATTTCGTCATATAACGAAATAGTAAATCGTATAATCATATCGTAATGTGGTACGATACATCCGTTTTAGAGTACTTCTAGGTGCCCTTTTGAGCATTTTCTTGTCGAGTCTGTGCCCGGGACGAGGTACTGAGAGGGCGGTGAAAAGAATGCGGATGAGAATCCTTCCATTATGATGCGATTTTACTTCAATATTATTCCCATGAATATTGCATAACCACATTACTAGCAGTGAGGCAAACAAGCCCAAGCCCGAGACTTCTTGGCTTTTCTTGGAGCTGACAAATCCAGTCGTCGCCCGAAGGATCTTTCTCAGCTGCGGTGGTGGCGGCGCGACGGCTGCAAAGGAAGTCCCCAACGTCGTGCAGGCGGTGGGTTTAGATCTCAGTAGGCTTTCAAACACATTGAGATTCACGACGAGGAAGATGCAATCTTCTGCTCGCGGTTGCCGCTGGGGGTTCAGAAAGAACCATTGCGTGTAAGCTTCATGTCATGTCATGGTCTCAGGGCTCTGCTGAGCGCACATAATTGCATGATATGCATGCATGTGGTGGCGAACGGGCAAGTGCAAATATGTGTGAAAGTAAGTATGTATGTACGTGTATGTCATGTCTCTGTCCTCTCCGTCTCTCTGTCTCTGTCTGTCTCTATTTCTGTCTGTCTGTCTCTCTGGCTGGGTCTGTCTTTGCTTGCCTGTGTGCGCATGTGTGTCTCTGGAAGTACTCGCTCTCTCTCTCTCTCTCTCTCCGCCTGTGTGTGTGTGTGTGTTTCCCTCTCTGTCTCTCTCTCGCTCTCTCTTTCATGTGTGCGGTTGGACCGATGGCTTGCTGCCTGAAGGGTGCTGATAGGATTGCAGGTACTGTAGACCTGGGGCTTACGCCAGGCACATCGCTATGACGAAGCGACTGGGCAGATGAGCACCATTGCTTCCTTGGACACTGCGAAGTGACGCTCCATCTGCACTATTCTGCACTCTGCAATGCTAGAGCGGTCTGTGAGATGGATGTTCGGGCCCCGTGTTACACAGAGTTGTGGGATGTTATGAGCTTCTGGTTCCAGGCTTTCTGATTACATTACAGAGGGTTGCAGACTTTGGGGCGGCGTTTGTCCCTTCGAGTCACTAAGGCGTTGTTGTTGCGCTGTCCTACGCGCCCGCACTGGAGCTGTGGCTGCTCGGTTGCGGTTTTGTTCGCTTGTTGGCCTGTCGCACTGATCAAGCCTATTATTTGTTAGCAGAGCCCCGGTGCTGTACAACGTCCCTCTAAGAGGAACTCGTGTAAAATTCCTCTCGTCCCCATGCCCACGGCCCAACCGCATTCTTGCGCCTGGTGGTGAGAGCGTCGGTGCTTCCTGCCGGTGCCCCTCCTCCCTCTTAACTTTGGCGGCTTGACATGGGCATTTCCCAAAATAGGGGCACCCCTTTTACACCCCAAATAGAATAGAATCCCCTTAAAGGGAGCCCCAAACAGGGTACACCTATATTCGGAACCCCCCCCCCCCCCCCCCCCCCCCCCCCCCCCCCCAAAAAAAAATGGCTTTTGCTTTGCAGGTTAGGCAGCGTTGGGCGCGGCTGCAAGGTCTTGCAGCTGTCTGCGGCCTGGATGTGAGAAGAAGCTTTGCGACTCTGCCAGTTTGCATTTGTTGGTGTTGACACGTCCCAGAGTTCTGGCACCAATTCGCAAGTTACCGAAGAGATCCTAGGCGGTGCCCTGTGACGTTCGTTTCGTGGCAACGCTGTAACGTTTGAACTAGGCCAGACCGGTGTCTTGACCGGTCTGCACCGAGTTTCTGTACAGTAGCTAGGAGGTTGGTTCGTCCCCGCATGCGTAATGCCGACGAACATGTATCATGGCTACCGGGTCTTCGTCAACTTTGATCTTGACGCTTCCGTACTTGGAGGCTTCACGACTCAAGAGATTCAAAAACTGCGCCCGTGCCATGCTACTCTGAATCCTTTATCCCTCTTACGCGGAAAAGAACCCCAAACCAGAAACACCGGGTTTAGGACAACGACCCTGAAGGTGGAGAAGAACAGCCTGACAGAAGTTTGTGAGTGGCAGACAGAAGAGACCGGCAAGAGCCTTGCACCGCAAGTCGACTGGTTTCGGCCCTTTGAGGTCTTGCTACTAAAGTACATTGGCATATATATATATATGCCAATATATATATATATATATATATATATATTGGCATACATTGCTAAAAAGAGTCTGGCCTCAAAAAAGAACCCATCCGATGTCCTGTTAACGAATACAGCACCCATAGGTTCCCTTTGCTTCGCATGGTCGATTTGTTTTGGTAGAATCGCTGCTCTCATTCAAACCTGAGCAAGCACATTCGTACGACTCCATGGCAGCTCCGGGAAACCCGCCGGCGCTTCCTTTAAAAATCTGGCAACCAAGAGACATATGGGGATTTACGAAAACAGGGGCCCCCGAAAATAGACCCCGAATCGTAGGATTCCCTTATATCAGGGGCCCCCCCAATAAGGTACCCCTTATTGTTCGGGAACCCCTATACCAACTCCGTCGACAGCCAAGGCTGCCATCTCAGAATGTGGCGAGGCTGAGCTTTCCGGGGGGTGAAGGAGTTGGTTGTTCCGGACGCTTGCTGGCTTCTCACCTGGGATTGTCTGTGCGGCCAGCCTCTGAAACAATCCTGGCCGCTGGAAATCCCCCCCCCCTGCCATGCTTGCATCCACAACATCATGCAATCACTGCCTTTGCTTTCTCTTGCTTTACAAAAGGCATCTTGGCATCATTACGTTGGTGAACGGTTTCAGGTCTTGAAGCTGCCGTACACTGCGAGATGCGGCAAGCAGTTAGTTGGAGGCTTGAAACCTGGAACTTATCTTTCTGCGAAATTGCAAATCATTGCCCACGAGTCATCAAGAACTTCTCTAAGTGCACTTACAGCCCAGAAGGGCCCAAACATGCACTGCCGCAAATCATCCGCCCAGCACCCAGCTCAAACAGCGAGGACACGGTGGACCCAGAGGTACAGTAGCCTTTTTTACTGCACTAGCCAGTCATCACATCATCACCATCATCATACTCTTATTAACAAAGGAGAAGCGCTACACACGAGAAACTATGCCAGGCACCACTGAAAAATGCCCCATGATGAGTGATTCTAGAATGGGCCTAAGCCTCGAACAAAGCACCGTCACTTGCTGCGCACGGGCGCCAGGTGGATCATCTTCTTAATTGGAAGTGTGGCCACAGACATGAGAGCCGCTCCATCACTTTTGCATCCACCCTGAGCTTTTGCAGGTGCTCTCCCAATGGCCACTTGGTGGCCACCGGCGGCACAGATGGCATCGTGCGGATATTTGAGGTCTGTGAAGAATTTGGAGGAATGGTCTTGTTGAGTTTGCTGCGTCCCGAATGGTCAGGTTTCTACTTGATGGTCCTCTGTGGCGTACCCTAGCGATAAGGAACTGCTTGAGAACAGAGGGAGCCTACAAGGGACCCTGCTGTAGCTAGCTTTGAGAACTACGCCGGGCTGTTCCCAGGATGGTTGCAACTTGCCGCAAGTTATTGCAGATGTTGCATTCTCAGTTGCCCTGTGAAAATCTCTGCAGGCGGCCAAGCTCCAGTCCAGCCCTGTGTTGAAGCACACTTGTGTGACCTGGATGCAGGCGTTGCCTCGGATGGGCGGGCTTAGATCCCAAACCTTCGTCTAAAGTCTAAGGACCTGGTTCTGCTTCAGACCTGTTCCGGAGCTATGTGGGCAGTTCTCTATTCGCGACTTTAGCTGAGGCCAAGAACGACGAGGTCCTAGATTTAGAGCCCCTTGGTGATGACATGGTTACCTACCCACGGAATTAGTCATTGAATATCCCAGAGAAGTGCCTTTCTCGGGTCGTGTCAGTTACGGTTTGGGGTGATTCGGGTGTAGGGCATGTGTTCTTTTGCTGGCAGTCGATTACAGTCCAGTTGCAAAAAGGGCCCAATTCCCAATGTGAGCAGCGGATGATTGTTCATAGTCCCCAGCGGATGAGGCGGATGAGCTGCCAGCTGAAATCATTTTCGCTCCCTACACACTGCTTGTGATTTTTCAGTTTATCCCACGAGTGCTGTCATGCTTTTCAAAGCTTCGCGGGCGGATCATAAGTTCCCCTACAAGTACCGGACGAAACCATGTCGAAGATTATTCATATTCATTTATGGTCTAGGATTGAAGGGAAGCGATTGTGCAAGTAAGGTTGTGCACAGGGGTCAGAAAGGGCTGTCGGAGCGCTGCCTGAGACCTCTACAGTCGTGAGAGTGCTGCTGCAACCAAATCTTTGTGGTACTTTACTGTAACTTTAGATCCTTACCTTTTTTGGGCTTATTGGGTTTCTTATTAAAGCAGCTAAAAGTTTAGTTTATAGCTACCCTCCTGAGTGCAGCCAAGAAATGGGGGGGGGGAGGCACCGGACCTCAGTCGGTGCACACTGGGGCCCCTTCTCTCATAGAAGAGCTCGGAGGTTTTCGCCGGACAGCAAAGTCCTGGCCTCCTGCGATCGAACCGGTCTCTGCAGACTTTGGGACTCTGGGCTCGCACTCAAGATGTCGAAGGTATAGGGCTTTGGGGAGCTTTAGCCTTCCCCAGCTCGGCACTCTCCAAGGGCAAGTGTCCGCATGGGCCCAGGAAGGATGGACACGCAGGGATGCAGTGAGGGCTTTCCCGTTAGGAGAGAAGCTGTTACGAACCGAAGGCGACAAATCAACCGTGGTCCCAGGATCCATCGACGGGCGAAGAAACTAGATCCATTGACTTCAAGCACCTGCACGCATCAGAAGACGAGTTTGTTTTGGTGCAATATTGGTTGCGGGCGATCTTATCTTAGGGTCTTGTCTCGATTCACTTCCAATCTCCCGGGTCTGCGTTGCGCAGGTGGGAGTGAACTGCTCCTGCATGGTGGTGCGGCGGTGCAAGTGTCTTATCATGAGTCTTGCAACTGACCGAGGCACGCTGGCACAGCAGTGGCGATCCGAGCAATACGCTCCGCAACTGAACGGGTATTTCTAAACAGGGGTCTCAGAGCCGAAGCATCCCAAAAAGCCAAACGGCCCTACTGTGCGCCCTTCAATTCGTCTCGATGCCAGCTTAGCCCTAACCTCTAAGCACTTGAACCCCAACCTCACATCACCCACCCTCTCGAAAATCAGGCTACCTGCCGCCGCAGGACGACACACGGATAGCAGCTGACACATGATGAGTTGCGTGATATCTGCAGCATTTTCATTTCCTGGAGATGGAGGGTGCGGTTCCACATCATTGGGCCCTGAGACTTCAGTTTTGAGTGGGTTTACTTGGTAGCCCAGTGGTGCCCTTTTGCCCCCTGTTTTTGGTTCTATAGGTTCCCTTAGCCCTACATGTTTATCATCGTCATAACGCAGGAGCGGCTTTGGGGGGGGGGGGGGGGGGGGGGGGCCTTTGGTCAACTCTGGGTCTTCTTGCCCGTAGAACTCTCGAACCCATGCCGCTTGTAAAGGAAGGCCAGCAGCAGCGCTTCCTTTGCGCGATGTCGGCCCCTAGGGGGCCTGCCTGCCGCTGGGAGCGGTGGTCAGCTTTGAGTTTGTTTCTGGAGTGGGTTGGGCATTTTGTATGGGCTCACGGGGTTTTGGAATATCCGCTGCCGTGGGTTAATGTAGCTGTAGCTAAGAACCCATATCATTGTTACCTATAACGTACGTACGGGTCGCAAATTCGTTATTTCTTGGCATCAATATTAGAATCTCTGCCAGGCACAAGGCAACTAATCTATTTGCTTAAGAACCCCCCCCCAAAAAAAAAATGTATAATATTCTTGCTTATTAAGGGCAATATAGCGAAAATTGTTTTTTTTTGTTTATTCTTTTGGGGTTCTTAGGCAACTAGTAGATAGTAAGGAATTAGCTACGCCCCTCAAGCAAGACCAACCCCCCTTCAGCGACGAGGCCTGGCCATCTACAACGCCGATGGCAGCATGGTCACCTGGGGTTTAGGGTTTTCGGTTTAGGGTTTAGGGTTTAGGGTTTAGGGTTCAGGGTTTAGGGTCTAGGGTTTAGGGTTTAGGGTTTAGAATTCTTGGGTAGTCTCCTAGTTGTCATCCTGGCAGCACGTTGCCTCTTCAACTGCACTGAGCTATGCCTGTTGGAGGATGGTGGTTCTGTCCTCTCATGAGAATCATCGGCTTGTACGGTAGAGTCCTTTCTATACAATCGTTGCCTTGACACTATCCTATATATATACACATATATATATGTGTCATATATACGTATACATATATATATATACATATATATATATATGCCCATATATATATATATATATGTCTCTCTCTCTCTAACTGTAACATGCTCAAAAAACACTCTGACATACCAAACCAGAATGCGATAGCATACGTCGCATGCCCTCAACTCCCAACAGAGCTGACGAAGTCGATTGAGATTCCACGTCCTTGTTGGCGGAGGGGCAGGGATATTGTGAACTCGGGGCTAGGCATTCCTGGGCTTGAGGGTGCCTGGGCTCGCTGGGCCCGACTTCTACATCTCGGAGCCCTGGACCCGCCCCTGGCCCCGCTAGAAAAGACCTTAACCGCACTCACTGCTCGACGTGGGATCCTGCAACTGTGTTGCTTTCGCCTGCTCCAAGAGGTCAAGGACGTGAAAGTCCACGACAAGCCCCTGACCGCCATTGCAGCCCCTAGCCTGGCTATGTCAGGGTGGTATGGCTTTGAAGAGCTCCCAGTCCTTGGTGCACTCTCCGAGAGCTGAGGTTGACAAGCCAGGTCAGACTGTGTGCGTCAACCTGGTGACTGGCGGTGCCTCGGCTTATGAGCTACATCATCGTAGTGAAGTCCGTCAATTTGCAATGTCGGGCTTAAGTCGTTATTGAATCCTTCTGAATGGCTTTGCAATGCCTTACACGGTCTTCCGGGGGGCTTTCAAAATGCCAAGGAAAGCGCTTGTATTCTCTGCCGAACATGCGCTGCTGCTTGGTTGCAGTAGGTGGGACGAGGCTTAGGCCTTACTGACTCCAGCGCGTTAGTGGGTCCATTTGGCTCCTACAAGGGCGAGTTTCGAGGATGTTGGCTAGCATTGCGCCGTTCATTCTAGGACATCGAGACATTAAGAATGAGGCAACTTAGAAAGGCGTGCTTCAGAAGTCTGCGACAGATCAAGACTTGAAAGACCCGCAGGCTGATTGATGACTCCAAGGGATGTCAACTCAACGGCTGATGTTTTTTTTTTGTGTGTGTGTGTGTTTTTCGGTTGTTTTTTCGTGTTTTTTTGGTTTCAGATGAACCCTAAACCCTAAATCCCTAAAACCTAAACCCTAAACCCAAAACCATGAAAAAGTACGAACAAAAATCCAGAAAAAAAAACGCGAAAACAACCTGGACCCTCAACTCAGTCAGATGTCTACAAAGATCTCCAATTTTCCCGAGGTGTGAAGAAAGCAGAGAATGTCGCTCGGCACACATGGTGAAGGGACATTGTCAGTAGATCAGTCATCTTGGAAGCCCTGAACCCTTCACTCATCTACATCTAAACCCTGTCGACCTATACAGACCTAACTTAGTAGTCCAAGTGCGACAGCTGCAGCCCCCGACATCCAGTTCGTGAAGCCTTTTATACCTGGTCCTCACCGGACATTCCTCCCGACTTCCAGCGACAGCGCGATCAGAAGACGTGCGGATTTCAAGCTGCTCTTCAGGGTTCAGAGCTGGAACTGAGGTTCAAGCCCCTTCTGTAGACTGAGACATGGGCTTCCAGAAGTAGCAGCATAAAGGGTCGGAGGTCTTCGACCGTGCGGTGTATACAGAGTAAGTTGGGTGTATCACGGAACTATGGGTTGAGCCTGCCCTTGATTAAGATTTGATGCTCCTGCGTGTTAAACTACCGTGCGTTGTTCACTTGTCACTGCTTAGGTCCACGACTTACCTGCACCCTGCGCCGTCTTCGTAGAGTCCACCGCAGCATCTGGGACAGATTCACGTCAGGGGGGTTCCCATGATAGGCCCAAGGATGATTGCCTCACACCTCGGCTACTTCGCGAGACGTTTTGAATTTCTTCATACCTTTAGTCGATTGCAGAGGACCGGCAGACGTTGGGCTGGCTCGGGCTTGGGGATGTGCATGCACCTGATGGTTGCGCATTTAGCCACGGATTTGTCCTTCGAAGTGGGAGTTTGACGCCAGAGGTGCTTGGTACGGATCATCTAGTTTTGAAAAAATCGCTCTGGAAGTCAAGATTGCCTAACCATGTATTCAGGCATAACCTTACGTAGCCAGTCTGGAACTGTGGGAAGTCAGTCGATATGAAGTTTTTTCTCCAGGCTAAGTGGGATTGAGCAGACCTGTCATGAGCAACTGTTGGCGCAGAATTGCTTCGAACCTATTTGCACGAAGGGTTGGCTGTTCCACTTGAGTGCTACCGAAGGTTTCCGGTAGCGGCGATCGCTCCATCAACCTGCGTCATGGCCATGCTTATTCCAAAGCTGTAGGGGACGAATTCTCAGCCAGCCGATTGTCTTGGAAAGCATCTTGATCTGCGAAGTAGCAACCTGAAGACTAGCTAGCCAATTTTAGCCAGAATGGGCTAAAAAGACGTGTACTATCTATCCAGTGCCAACCCTTTAAAGGCCTTTGGATGGGGTTATACTCCAGGGTATTGCACGAGAGAGAGAGAGAGAGCGCCAGTAGCGAAGACGTAGAAGAAAAAGAAGAAGCAGAAGAAGAAGAAGAAGAAGAAGAAGGAGCAGAAGGAGCAGAAGCAGCAGCAGCAGAGAGAGAAAGAGAGAGGACAGGAGGGCGGCAACTTGTGCAGGGCGGGGGTCCCCTAAATCCCTTAAAACAACACAGCAAGATGTACATCCGAAAGAAAACAGACGTGTGTCTACAGATTTGTGTATGTGTGTACGTACGTACGCGCGTACGTAGGTACGCTTTTTATGTATGTATGCATGCATGCATGTATGTATGTATGTATCTGAAGTCATACATGCAATATATATATATATATGCATATATACATATATAGAGAGTATATATATATACATATATGTATGTATGTATGTATGTATGTCTGTGTGTGTGTGTATGTATAGGAATGACCGGACCACAGGGTTCGGCTGATGCGTTGCGTGTGGGTGTGGGTGTGGGTGTGGGTGTGGGTGTGGGTGTGGGTGTGTGTGTGTGTGTGTGTGTGTGTGTGTGTGTGTGTGTGTGTGTGTGTGTGTGTGTGTGTGTGTGTGTGTGTGTGGGGGGGGGGACTGCCCTGCCCCCTGACAGGCATGGGGAAGGGTTTCAGGTAGGAACGAAGGGCGCCCGTCAAGAACACTAAGGATATGCCTTGCATAGTCCCGGTAGCCCCAAATTTAACCCCTAAATAACCCCTGAGGTCCCTTATAAGGGTCTCTCCTTTAGTCCCTTGAGAGCATCCCAGAGCTTGCATTGGGAGTAGCTATTGGAGAGCGAGAGCCAGGCTTTCGTGCAAGAAGGCTCCAGGAGGAGGAAGCACGTCATGCTTGCAACTGCCCTGCAGGGAGGGGTCCTAAAAACTCACTGAAGACAGTGGGCATGGTTGTTGCTTCTGAGATGACTTGAGGCGTTCTGTCTGGGATGATAAGTTTCTCATGATGGCAAGGCTGCATGGCCAAGTCACTCTACTTTTGCGGGTCTTGCACTGGAGTTGAGATGTGGCGGTGCTGAGTGAAGGTATTTGCTTTTGCTCGTGGTCGTGATGGTCGCTGTGTGCTTCCTCATTCTGCGCATAGGCGCGGATGTCATTGACGCGAGGGCGACTTCAAGCTTCCCTGTTCTTCAGCTCATTCCCGTCAATGGGCGGAGCTTAGCATGTTCTAGCATAACAAACATGCAGACCCCGGACGCGCCACGTGAACTTGATGACATTTTTTTTTGTTCGGTGGAGCCTCTTTACATCATCAGCTGCCCAGTAGGCAACATGAACTTGATGGCTTTGCATCGTGTGCTTGAATGTCCATACACTGACTCATGCAGTGTCGTACATTTCTTATGGTGGCTGGCGCCATCCGCAGGGAAAACTTTATTTGCATCTTTGTCAATGTCAATATGTTTAGTTGCCGGCCGCGGTCTATTGAGCCACCCTTTTCACAGGCATGAAAGGGGCGGTGCTGATGAACAGTGCCGGCGAGCTTTGAGGCAACGTCTCCATCTTGAGGCCTGAGCCGCTCGTTCGCCAGGATTATTCCAATATGAGCACGCGGCATAATTTCTCACACATCATGTTTGTTTCATAACCATGTTTTTAGGGGAGATAGAGGCGGATCTGGGTGCAATTGTGTGATCTCCCGAGAGGTCTGAGTGAGACAGTGTTCACTTTAACTACATCGTCTTTAGTTGCTTCTGACAATTGACTCCACATTCTGGGCAACAGTTTTATTGACCTTGCTCTGGATCTAAGCTTATCTAAGCTTATAGTTTCGTGTATCTTCGTGCAAATGCTGGTCGTAGTTTTAGGGAAAAGTTCGATGCCTACAGCCTTGACAATTGAGGGCGCTGTCTTCGCGGCTGTTTTCCGTCGATGTCTGTTCCTCTCGTAGCAGCATCTACTATGTTCGCGACACTGGTTGCCAATCAAGAAAACCGCCAGAATCATTTGCGCCCTTATCGCATTGGTACAGCTACTGCGCTCTTGGAATTCGTCGCAGAAATTGCTCCTAACAACGCCTTTATTTCTTGAAGTGTTTTCGAAAGAAAGACAACTCCAAAAGAGAGTATGTCATGACAATCCTTGACAGACTTCTCTAAGCATTCAGAACAAGGTGTATTTAACGTGACAATAGGAATCCAAACCCACGGCAATAGCCCCGCTTGAAACAGCACATGCCTTTAACCTGTTTACAACAATAACACTTGCAAGTAATACCCGCATCTGGTTCGCCATGTGGGCTCTTACTGGCACTATTATAGTTATGTCCCCTTTCTCATAATGCCGGTATGAAAAGGCACTGGCTCCTTAAGCCTTAACGAAACGAATCCTGAACCAACATATTTCCACACTTTGCGCATGAAACATCAGAACATTATCCGGGCTCTTGCTTCTGTTTCAAGTGGGGTGCTTGCCTAATCGGCCTGTCACAATAAGCTAGATATGCTCCAGTCCATAGTGTTCATTCTCTGAAGGCTGTTTCAATTCTTCTACCTGATTCTCTAATGTCTCTGTCTTTCTCCCGGCCTGCTTCCATCCAGTATCAGCCATTGCCACGTCTCCTGATTGAAATATGTTCTGACTATCTGAACACCACGGCCGATGCAGAAGCTGCAACGGTCCCCAATAAGGTTAACACTCACCTCAGTAGCTTTAGTGTTTGTCGTCTTTGTCTCCCCATGTAATGTGCTACTCTTGCATCCACAAGGCAAACAGTTTTTTTCCATCTTTGTTTAAGTGAAATCCGCCATCGTTTGTTAAAGGTTTTTCTTTTACATCTATTATTTCAATCCATCTTTGTTTAAGTGAAATCCGCCATCGTTTGTTGTGTCATGTCTGTGTCTACCTTCAATGCAGCACTTGCGCATCAGCATGAACACTGCCTGAAAAGATGTATATCTGTTCAAATGATTCTGTGTAGATTGATTCTGAACCATTACTGTTTTACCACACCACAGCTTTGGCATCATGTCATATTTGTATCTGCTGCTTGTAGATTGTGTTCGGGAATGTCTAATGGTTCCACTTTGAAGATCTTTCCCAGGACAATGTCCCGTCACTAAGACACATGAGGTACAATACATATATTGATACCATTGACGACTTCGAAGAAATGGAAGAGGTAATGAATAAGGATAGATTACATAGAAGGCGCTTACTCACTACTGGAAATCTGCAGAGGGATTCTACAGTTTGTAAAGCAGAAGAAATAGTAGATCTACCAGAAAAACCTTTATCTTTATTGTGACGGATTCGATCCGTTGGCACTGAAGAAGATAGACACACAGCACATAACAACTGATTTTCAGAAGAAGAATAAACGCAAACATTTGCCTAGTATTCTGTTAGTGGTGGATTCTTTTGCAGACGGCCCTCGAGTTGTAAGATACCCAAGTTTGTTACATGGCTTGTTCACGAGAGGCAGACACCACGCCATGTCATGCACTCTATCAACACAGAAGTCTAATGTATTGGTGCCAACCATAAGGCTCAAAGCATCCGCATCATTCACGTCCGAGCTTGGCACTGTTGGGCAAGAACACGTCATGCGAGGTTGAGATCGGAAAATTTTATAATGCTAGGGTAGGGGCTGCGTCGTGCCACACACCTAAATAGGCAAGGACCAGTCAAACTGTATTCCCCCTAATTCGCAGTATGCCAATCCTCCCCCCTCCCCCCCCCCCCCCCCCCCCCCGCCACGCCCCCTAGCCCCCTTTCCCCCCGGTCTCAAGAAAGAAGCATCTCTCCATGTCTCCAGGCTGCCGAAGGTGCTGGTGATGCCTAGGGGCTCACAAAATCCGTGCGACTCGAAGAGCGGGGACGTTTAGATGTGCAGGGGGTCCCTTGTTGGTTCGTCAACAGGAAGCTGCCAGAAGCTATCCCTTGAGTACGAAGGGCTCCCATCGGTGGTAACAACTTGGGAAAGATGCAGGTTTCTGTCTTTCTGTCATTGCCGGACATGAGCATCGGGATCGGGAGATTTCAAGACACAGCACAGCTGTATGCAGGGTGGCTTGTGCGGATTTGATGGCAAGGGTTCGTTGGAGGCCATTTTCTTGGCAGCCCTGTTGTATCAGCAGCAGACATTGGTGAAGCCCTTCAGAGTGCACCCTTTCAGCATCAAGATGCCACGATGCCACTGCGAGGTGGAGAAATCAAGGGCTTTCGGGCCTTACACGAATAGGGTTTGAAGGTGGCTTCTAGCCGTTTGGATGATTTGGATGTTAGGGCTCAGAGGGCTTCCAGGGCTTGTCGGCTTGCGTGCCCAAAAGTCTAGGAGCAGATCAGGAGGTTGAACATGTGACAGCGTGAGGCGGAGAAGCGGATATAATCATTGTGTACAAGGGCCCTTGTTCTGATCGTGGAACGAATCTGGTTGGCATTCAAGTGTGCAGTTGGTACCTATGTTGAACATCTTCAGTCAGCAACGTGCAATGGGTTACCTCTCTGCTCAGAAGCCAGGTGACTGCGAGTTAGGGTTTAGGGTTTAGGGGATTGATAGTATGAGAGACCAATCCTAGTGGGCTGATGGCGGCTAGCGGTTCCGGCCAGGGTTTCTGTTCAAGCTCTCGAAAGACTATAGCTGGACTCACACTTTACGATGCTTTACGTAGATCAAAGCTGGTTTTGCGTGTAGCAGACTCCGCTCCTCTCCCCCCCCCCCCCAATGCAAGTGCTAGCAGATCACGCAGATGGCCACTCTAGCCGTAGCTCATCTTCCTCGACAGTGCGCTTGCTCCCCACACACCTCACCTGGAATCTTGAATATTGAGCCTTTAAAATAAAATTGAAACGGCCCAAACCCTAATTACGCAGTGTTCACGTGCTGGGCGGGTGGCAAAAAAAGACGGAATGTGGTACCAAGTCATGCAGCTCATCCTATGACCTTTCCGAGGCTCCGGTCCATCCGCAGCCTGGAAGCCCAGAGCGTTGAGGACCTGCGGGCAGAGTGCAGGCGCACACTGCTTTGGGAGGTCTTAGGCTTGTCAGACCTCTCTCTCATGTGTGTGTGAGAGGTTTGGGAGCTCATAGGCCCTAGGCCCCAAGTAGCCAGCAGAAGCTGCTTCCCCTCAGGCAAAGGGGCCTCGCTCCTCCGAGGCGCGCATCTAAGGCCCGGGGAAGGGATGAGTGCAGTCAGAACCATTCGGCAGCTATCGTACGTAGCCCTTCCTGGTGCTGACAAAGTCGCTCAGCTCTCTGAGAGTTGGGTTTGCCATGAAAGCTGGCTGCCCTAGCTCGGCAAGATCAGGCTTGGGATTTTCGGTGCTAGGGCTCCTGGCGCTGCAGGCAGATCTGATAAGCCAACTGCCGCGCACTTACGTCGAGGGACATGAGTTGGTCAAGGAGTTGGGGCTGGGAGAACTGCCACCCTCATGGTAGAGTATTGTGGAGAGCACAATGACATCGCATTGATACTGGCTATTGCCGTACCGCCGGACCTCACAGCGCAAGAGGTCAGAGATGCTTCTGTGGTTAGAGCTTCCGCTGTCCGCGCTGCGAAGCCTCTGCAAGGACATGTGGGTCCAAGGCTAACTGTCTCAAGCCCTGGGCAGCCCAAACCGCTGACAGTGGTGCGACGCTTCATGCAGGACCGTGGCCTACAGATTCGCGGGGACCAGCGACGCTGGGGCCTCGGTCTGGACGATAGAGCGGCTCTGAACTTGGAACCGCAGCTGCCATCAGAAGAAAGCAAGCCGGTAGCACAGTGCTACCAGTGGATGAACAAGGTCATGGCGAATAGCGCAGGCTTGAAACAGGAGGGCTCCAGAGCACGAACTTCGCAGCCCCAAGACTCGCCAGACAAGCAGTGGCTGCGGCACCCTGCTGTGCTTCGCTGATGAGTGTCCTTTTTCCAGCTCCGAGGTGCAGACCTGCTGCTGGGCACCCAGAACCATGTCCTTAGACTTAGACCTGCTTTGTGTCATAGAGTCAGCTGCGTCAGGCCTATTTCCAAAGACACCATATTGCCGAGTCCCGTATTCGCTTCTGAACGGCCTTGCGCCCCACATTGTATTTGAGGAGCTTGCTTCGCGAATCATCCTGGCGTGATCGGGGCATTCCGTGCTGCTGGCACGTGACAGATTTCAGTTTGGCATGATATAGATCTGATAAGTCGGATAGGTAGTGTCGTACTAGTCCAAACTTCAAAAGCTCGTGGCTCCAAGTTGCCCATGTGCCGGATAGCAACTGCATTTTTTCTAACGGACTCTGTTCGTCAGAGCTCAACAAGTCTTATGGCATTGTGTGGTAGGCGGCATTTTTGTTAAAATCAGTTCCGACATCTAGCACCTATCTGCAGTGGCCAGGTTGGAACGGCTCGGTCATGAAACACTGGCTCAGGAGCTGTTGGACAAGGCGCATTGAAGGTTGTTATGTCATCAGCCGACAGTTTCAGGATTTATGGCTGGCTTCAGGATTGGATGGGTTGCAGGTTTCGGTCTCAGTCGTTGTGAGCCACAACCCCACACCCTATGCGCGCACATCTGCCAAACAGCAACATCGAAGCTCCCATCACCGGCCGATACGTACGGCCAACCACGTTTTGCAGGGTTACAGGTCTAAAGGCTCTCCCCGTGAGGCGTCTCTCCAGGTTAGGCACCCCGTTTGTTTGTGTGTGTGCGTGTGTGTGTGTGTGTGTGTGTGTGTGTGTGTGTGTGTGTGTGTGTGTGTGTGTGTGTGTGTGTGTGTGTGTGTGTGTGTGTGTGTGTGTGGTTGTGTGTGTGTGTGTGTGTGTGTGTGTGTGTGTGTGTGTGTGTGTGTGTGTGTGTGTGTGTGTGTGTGTGTGTGTGTGTGTGTGTGTGTCTGTGTGTGTGTGTGTCTGTGTGTGTGTCTGTGTGTGTGTGGTGTGTGTGTGTGTGTTGTGGTGTGTGTGTCTGTGTGTGTGTGTGTGTGTGTGTGTGTGTGTGTGTGTCTGTGTGTGTGTGTGTGTGTGTGTCTGTGTGTGTGTCTGTGTGGTGTCTGTGTGTGTGTGTCTGTGTGTGTGTGTGTGTGTGTGTGTCTGTGTGTGTGTGTGTGTGTCTGTGTGTGTGTCTGTGTGTGTGTGTGTGTCTCTGTGTGTGTCTCTGTGTGTGTCTGTGTGTGTCTGTGCGCCTGTGCGCCTGTGCGTCTGTGCGTTTGTGCGCGTGCGCGTGTGTATGGGAATCCTTGCATTGATAGCCCAAAGTCGGCAGCCTCACGCCCCAAGCCTCCCCAGCTAGGGTCCTCCGTCCCTGCATCCCGTTGACCCAAAACCCATCAAAGAAAAGCTTGCTCTCTTTGCCGGGAACCATCGCATTGCGCAGGTCGAAGGCTTGGAAGCCATGGGGGTGCGGTCTCTGCGGGAGCAGTGCCGCCGGAGGGCCCAACATGGCGAACTGTTCAATGCTGATGCAAAGTGTTTTGCGGGTGGAACTGAAGAAAGGTGCTTTGGGTGTCAGATCATCAGATCACACAACAAGTTCATGCTGCAGGCCTGCGGAGGCTTAGGTAAGGTTCGCGATCTTGCGTTTCACGCGACTGCCAGAGCGATGACCCTTCCAAGGCTCACTGAAACTGCCCTTCCAGGTGGGGGCGCCGGGTTCAGGAGCACGGTGGAGATTGCCTGCAAGCAAAGACAGCGGCTAGGAATCACAACTGTCAGTTGCAAGTTCTACTCTTGGAGTTAAGTTGTGAAGCAGGACCTTGCTGCTCAGCAGATGAGCAGCAACAACGTGCTACAAGTACCTTCCCAGAGTCCTAGAGTTCGATTTGACAAGCATGCCAGATTGCACTGGCAGTCACTGGCAGCTGCAGCAGAGCTATTCACGGTGGCACGGTGCGTCTGCGTGTTTGGAAGGCTCTTGGAGAGAAGAATGAGTTGGTTGCCTGCCTCACGGTCGTCTCCTTGGCACAGGGCCAGGTTGAGATTGTGACTGGTAACTTGGACTTAGACACATGGTTAGGGTGTTTTCGCAATAATTATTTGGGGATAGTACCATGTAGTTTGAACCATGACAGGCGAAGTCTGAGCCAAACCTTGGGCCACTGTCATCTGATAGTTGCGCTTGGCAACTTCTTTCATTGGCATCTCTTGTAAAAGCTCTTTGCTCCATGGTGGAAATTTCGTGTCGAAGCAGCAGTCGCTGGGCTTTCCAATGGTGATTCATCTGCAATAGTTTTTTCTCTCGTTGTCCGGCTGCACCTGCATTAAGAGGAGCCTTCGAATCCGCAAATGCTAAACATTTACTACTACAGTACTACTACATTACTACTACATTACTACTACATTACTACTACACTACTACTCTATATAATTTCTCTTGTAAGACAAAGTAATAGAGGACCCAAGTCGAGCAGAGCCAACTCAGGAACCCCCAGCCGCTACGCTTCAACTTCTGGATCGTAGGTGGAAAAAACCCAGCTCTCACAGTCGATACTTCCAGGGCCGATTTAGATCCTCTTAGATGGAGGGCAAGTCCCCCGATACCCTTACCCCCATGTGAGGCTTCTGCAAGGTTCTTGTCCGCTAGAGGCATCCATGCGACCGTGCACAACAAGACAATTTCACAATCCCTGAACTCTCGATTGCAATCTGTCATATTCTATAGACTTCTGTAATGATGTTCCTTGCTTCGCAGGACTACTTCGTCTGGGAACGGCTGTCGACCTCCGCGCTCGAGCTGGAGCCTTATAGGCCCAACTAGGCAAGTGCCGATCGCCCACGCCCAAGTCAGAACCGTTGGTGACACGAACCCACATAGTTCATGCCGGGGACCTACCTTCGCCGGGGCGTGTTCCGTTTCGAACATCTTGCATGCCCAGTCGAACACATGAGGTGGGTTAATGGTTAGATGGCTTCGGCATTGTCGCGTTCTATCGAGATCGTCCGTTGCTTGGGCGCCAAGGAGCGAGTGCAACGAACGCGGATGCTCTCCAGACATTAAAGGCCTGACAGGGCTCAAGGTGTCATTGGAAGACCAAACCCTGAAACCCGCAAAGCTACCATCATGGCGGCAAAAAAGCCACCGTTTTTAGGCCACTGGCGTGAACTTGGGAGGCCGCCAAAGGCGGAAGTTTCAAAGTGTTGCGGTAGGAGATTTTAAGGCCTGACGAATCGTTTGTGCTAAGCCCAGGTCATGTCACGTGACTCTTGTCACCATTCGACCAATCTTGCCACTGCCTTGATATTCTGTGATCGTGATCAAGGGCGCACTAGTGACTTCACAGCCTCATTCCGCGAACATGGAGGAGAAGCATCGTCATGTCGTTGTCAATGCTGCTTGCTTTAACAGGCAAGTAGATACGTACTGTGTGTGTTTCATATGGTTCAGTCCTGGAACACACAGAGCATTCTTTCTTTCATCGCTGTGCAGGCGTGCAGAGCCCCCGGAAGCACCAGATGCTTGCACTAGCCTCGGATGAACATCTTCGCTGCGGAACTTGTGACAGGGAACCCTTTGCCAGTCCAGAATAGTGCAGGTTCTGCAACCTGAGTGTTGTTTTGTTCAAGACTGCTCTGCCAGACCCCTCCAATTTTCTTCATGCATGCGACAGCCACATGCAGATGCAGACTTGGAGCACTGCTGTTGGGATTTGGCTAGGTGCAGAGTCTGGTGGAGGCACGCCTGATTCAGGCCTGGACGGCAAAGTATTGGGGAGCATGCGCGAGCTTTCGTGGCCACTCTTGTACATATGTGGCTGAGGTCTTGCATGTGTGGAGGTTGATGCTGCTTTCCGGATGAAGGTCGCACACAGCAATCCTTGCGTCAGCGAGACCAAGCAAGAGCTCGAGAGGGATTCATGCTCGGCTGTGCGATGAGGGGCATCGCCACGCGATCAAAGATTCTCAAATTGCTTGAAAGCCCCCGGCGCCTTCCCAGGCGTGGCGCGACTCCGGCTTGGACCTGCTCCGAGAGGGCTTGCAAGCACACGTAGCCCAATGTGAATTCCTGAAGGTTGCCAAAAATGAAATCAGGAAGCCCCTCCTGCCCTGGACTCGTAGCCTAGGGCCTAGGACTTCCCAGCTCTTGATGAATGGTTTCAGAACATGTGTTTGTCATAATGACTTTGCCGAGGACAAGCGCGTCACCTCCTTCCAGGCAGCAGTGGGTGCTCAGTTAGAGCAGCGCAAAGGAAGCTGGTAGCAGTTCAGCGTTCGGAGCTCCTTGGGGTCTTCACCGTCGATGTGGCTGGCGGAATGCAGGAAGCTCCGAGTAGAATTGCGAGGACTTGAGAATTGAGTAGAGCAGTCATGTGGGCGCAGAGTTCAGAGTTTGTGTCCACCGAACTGGGCAGGCCATTGAGCGCGTTCTGCGGGAAGTTCGCCCAGGGCTCATGACATGCTCTCTTGCCGACGAAGTCTTCCTTGCATTGCCTCGATGGCAAGGGTCCAAGACTCTTGAAGTCCTAGTGCTCCAACTATTTCCAACTTCTCCAAGGGATCGGACAGATAAGAAGCCTCGTCTTCATAGAGACCAGTTTGTTTGTTTTGCCGATTCCAGAGCCGCTGCTGGAGGCCGCCTAGAGCAGCTGACGCTGTCCGAGCTGCCCCTGGGCTCAACCGCATCTACGGCTCATGCTCCACGAACCTCCTGCTGCCTCTTCTATCCTCTTCTTCTTTTTTAGGAAAAATGATGACATTTCAGATTCTGGTAGGAACGCACTCCTTGTACCTGCATGTAGTGTTGATTGTGGGTGGTGTGAATTCCTTCCAGGTTGTTCTCCAAGCTGCCAAACTCGAAGCTACAGTTTCTGCATTCACTGCTGGCAGGGTCCGGGCATCACGTATACCGCCAGTCCACTTGCTCAGCCCATGCACACCTAAGGCAGCAGCAAGTTCGCAAGAGAGGCCGCTTGCAGCGCTTTCGGGTCTTGGGTGTCCAGCGACAAGGCTTGCGGATGTTCGGATATGGAACGGCTGTAAACGGAGTTAGTTCAGTTGCACATGCACCACCCACGTAAAGAACGCAATCGTACGACTCCCTTCCTAAGCAATATAAGGACCGCAGAAGCATGTTCGAAAGTAGAGGCCCATGGTTTAGGATTCGTGACGGTTCGTGCTTGGGTGGCATGTCTGCTGGTCTTTGGCCCTCCCCAAGCGGTCAAACAGTTCTCAGGTTTTGAACAATCTAAGACTAGGCAGGGTTCTACACGAAAGGGTTACCACAGCATGGGATGCCGAAATTCTGCGCTGGTGCCGCAACGCACAGGGCTTGGGGACACTTTCGAAAGCCTGCACGTACTGAACTTGCCATCCTGGCCAATGCAGGTAGTCGGGCTTAGAGGAGGCAGTGGACAGCCACCCGCCCACCACCCCAACCCAGATTCAGGCAGCACTGCAGGTGGCCCTGAATAGGCCAACACACCGTACACCCTAAACCTTCGAGCGCCAGAGGAGCTCACCCCACTTCCATACCCAGTCTCCGTTTCCAGGACTGCAACCACCCTAGCAGAGACTTGAGTATCCTAAGTAGGCACAGAACAGATCAGAACAGCCCCGGCCATGGCTTGGGATTTCAGCGTCGATGTCAGCAAGCCTCGGAAGGCATGTCAATGGGGCGCACGCGGTATCTGGAAAGCTTCAGTCCTTGGGGACCTTGGGGACAGTTGCCTTGGGAAAACCTTGGGAGGGTCGGAACTACCAGTAGGGATGCGAAACTGCATAGTACTGCCGCGTTTTGCTGGATTCTTGCACGCTACTTTTCTGCACTCCTGGTAGGAGAGACTCCTCAAGCCAACCGGACCCTGAGCCAGAGATCCCAGCTTCGACATCTCACATTCCTAACAAAGCCCCTGTCGTCCTTAAAACCCGAGGCTGCTGAACCCCTACAGCCTACAGCCCTCATCTCCCACCAAGCAAGAAGGGATTTAAGCCTATAGTTGTGCAACGGAAGGCTTCGCCAATTTAGGGATTTAGGGTTCAGGGTTTAGGTTTAGGGTAGCCAGATGTAGCCAGAAAGCTGCAAAGACCAGGGCCCGACCACTCCGGGATTCTCTGGCGACTGGCGTGGGGGTGCAGCGCTGCATCAGGTGCGCAATTGGCAATATCACTCTTATTTAGTGTGCTGTTCTTGCTTTGTGTGTTGTCACATCTTTTTGTTTATGGTGCTGTTCTTATTGTTTTCCGTGCTATCAGGTCTAATTTTTGTGCAGGTGCCTATGGAACATGGCCAGCTGCAAGTCAACGGGTTGCAGGGGATGGAGTCTGCTTCGACTAGAGGTTGGCGGAACAAGAGAAGCCAAAGAGGCTAGGCATGGAACACCATGGCCGAAAGGCCAGCCCCCAAGTTTTCCGTTTCTAAGCTGCCAAGGCGAACCCTGAGCCCTTAAACCCTAAGCCCTAAACCCTAAACGCTAGACCCTAAGCTCTGGCGCCAGGCCCCACAGCCCTCTTCACAGCGCCGCCCTGCAGCCAGTGGCACTGTGGAGGAGCACGACTCGGACGAGGAGGCGGTAACTGACGTGCTGGGTGTAGGGTTTAGGGTTTGGGGTTTGGGGTTTAGGGTTTAGGCTTTAGGGTTTAGGGTTTAGTTGGGAATTTCAGGTTCGCAGGTTTCTTGGGACCGTCCGAATACCAGATGGGCAGTTTGCGGGCAGCCAACAAGTCCGGTGTCAAAAAGGGTTCAGGGCTTCAGGGCTGCATGGCCTTCTGGTGGACACGACAGGAATGCATGGAAGGGGGGGTTCAGGGATGTGAGCAAGGCACCAGCGGTCGACGCCGCGGAGAACATTGACAAGTCGCAGGCCAGGGGCCCAGCTGCGTGCTTCTTAGGCGGCTGGAATTGGGCTGGGATGGTTCAATATGGGGTGTTTAGGAAACTAGGGGGCCCCCAATATAGAACCCCCAAAAGGATCCCCTTATAGCAAGGACCTCAATAAGGTACCCCGAATGTCGGAAACCCCCAAAGAATACACGGAGCATCATGGAGCCCTAGGGCTCTGCCAACCCCCCCCCCCAGCAAGGATCCAACAGGAGATGCCTCTTCAGTAGTGTCAGGTCTGTCAACATAGTGCCATGCTGTGACGTGTCGTAGGGGCTTCAGGAATCTGGTGTGGTGGCTCCATGGTGCGAGTTGGTTGGCTGATGGATTGCGGATGTTTCTTTTCGGGTTTTGTTCATAATGACCGAAGGGATCAAGAAGGAAGCGGCCGCAGCGCATGCGAGGTGGTTGCGACAGTTGTGCTGGCAAAAGAGTGCAAGAACATGAAAGTAGCACATGGTCCTGGGCCTCGACCCACACACCTTCTTGCACAATCATGTCAGGTGAATCTCGTGTGGGACAGCGAGAAAGGCCTCTCGACAATCATTTTGGTATGACCTCCCTGGCGAGCTGCAGTATGCATACAGGGCAAGGTTTTTTGGGATGTCCTCCTTTGAGGGTATCAGACTCGGTGGTTCTTCCTTCTAAGCCCTCGAACCTCCGAGGCCGCCTTCTCTCCGCTCCTCCAAGTCATGAGCTCCCCACCTTCAAACCCTGCTTTGCAGCTGCGCCACTTACTCTTAACATCTCCTGGATCTCGCACGCGGCATCGCTGCTCCGCAGCGTGTGCAATCATTCGCGCTGAATCATCCGAATCCGGGAGCACACGCGCTAATGTTGACTTTGCATTAATAAATCCCCCCCCCCCCCCTTCATTGATCAATCTCTCCGGCCAGGGCCTCCTCAATAATATCCGCCTAAATCCTGGTAGGTCTAGCTGTCCCGGTGCCACCACGGTGGGCTAAGTGAGCCTCTACTGCGAGCTTCTGGGGGATCACTTTTAGAAGAATATTCCGGGCTGGATTTTATAATTGTGGCGGGCTACATTATTGTGTTCTGGCAGCTGGATTTTATAATTGCGGCGGGAATTCCTAATGTGAAGTCAACATTAAGCATGTTCATGAATGCATGGGTGTGCCCTCAAGCCCCGAACTTGCCAAAAAAGTTCAAGTTCATTGGCTGTGATGGTGCAGGGCTTCGAATTTTCCTGAGGGTCAATGTGGATGGGTGGTAGTGCTTGTGCGTTTCGTCAGACGTTGACGCAATGAGCAGAATCCGGAGCGGCATTGAGCACAAGTGAAAGTGGCACGTTCGGAAGATTGATATGAGAGCATGGAGATCAACATGTTCTACAAGCAAGGCCGGTTGGTTCCTGCTCCTGCAGCTGGCGCAGCAGGACAAGACTCGTTGGAGTGATCGTCAACAAGTCGCTATGGGCATGCCCGGGTTAGTGCCAGAAGCCCTGTCAGCATCACACCAGCCCTACTGTAATACTGAATACCTTTGGGGGGGTATCTCTGCAAGCCCTTGACCGTAACCCGGAGCTCCGGAAAGTGGTTTGAAAGGGCTTGTTGGGGCCTCAACTCCCAGCTTAGGCTGTTCCCCCGTGTATTAGCAGTCCTCAGTAGGGATTCTAGTAGGGGGTACTAGAATCCCTATGAAGGACTGTTCGTATAAGGGGGAGCACCATCGTAAGCCCGAAACCCTCCAGGAGCACCGGGTGCCCAGCCGGACAAGTCAGCCACACCAGAGGCCCTTGGTTTAGGGTTTAGGGTTTAGGGTTTAGGGTTTAGGTTTCTGAGTCCTTATACGAGATCCGCGCTCTCCTTATACCCCTTAAAACAAGGTCAATAAAGTTGGGTCCTGAAGATTCAGGCGTTGAAGGTTTTTGGGGCGAGCCAGCGCGGGTTTCTGTGCTGTAGCATTTGCAGCATTCGCCTTGTTCACACGCTGCTTCAGTCTGACGTAGCACCCTAAACCCTAAACCCCCACTGGAAGCCTTGAAGCTTTGCGCCGAGCGAGAACCCCCTTCGTAGTCACAGGCGGCCACCACCGCACCCGCCGCGCCGGCAGCCGAGGTTGGGCGGTGGACTAACAGTCCTTACTAGGGAGTATAGTACCCCTACTGGAATCCCTACTGAGGACTCTTAGTAGAGATGTGAAAAGGGACAAATGCACATGCAATCTCGAGCCTTGGCCTGGGCTCTCCGCACTGAGCACTCTTGGGCCAGGCACCGGCAGAGGCACCGGAGGATGCCGACGAAGGAGATTGGTTTAAGAGTTTGATGGGTTTAGGGTTTGGGGTTTAGGGTTTAGGGTTTATAGGGTTTAGGGTTTAGCCAGCCTCCAAGGTCCGTTGCTCAAAAAAAGGGTTTCGGGTTTAGGGTTTGATGGATTTACGAAGGTCAGTATCTCACCCCGGGTCGGGAACAGTCTGTGCATGCTACTGGCTTCACGAGACACGTGTCGATGGTACCATGCCTGCAGCAAGGAGAGGAGGAGGAAGATCCCGCTGGTGACCAGGAAGTGGATGTAGAGGCTCATGGGAGTTGAGCGTGGCTTCCTTTAGGGTTTAGGGTTTAGGGTTTAGGGTCCAGGGTAAGAATTGTAGGATAGATGCTGTGAAGGATTTGTTTTTGGGATGTCTTGGGCACGGTGGGGCAGCTTTGCTGGCAAGAGACTCTTGTGAATAGTTTCCTCACTCTGGGGATCGAAGGATTCAGCCACCACCTATACGAATTAAGATGAACAACAACAGCCCCCAAAGATCTGAAACAAACCTTTCAAGTCAACACCCGAACCCCCACACACGAAAGGGTGGGGGTTCTTTTTGGGTATATTTTTTTTTTTTTGGGGGGGTGTTTTTTTGGTTTTCTAAACCCTAAACCCTAAACCCTAAATCCTAACCCTAAATCCTAAACCCTAAACCCTAAACCCTAAAACCCTAAAACCTAAAACCCTAACCCAAAATCCCTAAATCCCTAAATCCCTAAAACCCTAAAACCCTAAAACCCTAAAACCCTAAAACCCTAAAACCCTAAAACCCTAACACCCTAAAACCCTAAAACCCTAAAACCCTAAAACCCTAAAACCCTAAAACCCTAAAACCCTAAAACCCTAAAACCCTAAAACCCTAAAACCCTAAAACCCTAAAACCCTAAAACCCTAAAACCCTAAAACCCTAAAACCCTAAAACCCCCCTAACCCTAAACCCTATACCCGAAAACATACCCTAAACCCAAAAACATACCCTAAACCCACAAACAAACCCAAAAAAAACCAAAAGAAACACCCAAAAAAAACCTGGCTCCCACACGAAAGACCCTGCAGCGACGCCACATATTCGCGGACTTGAAAAAAAGGACCACCCCCCCTCAATTGTCGGCAGGCAGAGAGTCGGGCAGCCTTCCTGTCAGAGGCTCTCAGCACGCTCGTGGTTTCTGTAGGTCTTAGGCTTGTCTAGGACCGGGGAAAAATCTTGGAGGGGTTGGGCCAGGACCTTTCTGAGGTTTAGGTTTGAAAAGGTTTTACAGAGGGCTTCAAAGTGATAGGAAGCCCTCTCCCCAACTACCTCTTGAAGGCAAGAACCCTAAACCCGAAACCCCAAACCCTACACCCTAAACCCTAAACCCTAAACCCTAAACCCTAAACCCTAAACCGTGGCAACTTGTGACAAGGTTCCTGTGCACAGGGCTTCGTTTTTTTGGAACTGTCAGCCTGGTTTGGGTCCAGGGTTGTCGGTGATTAGGGGCGGGGGTCGGCCCAGAAACTGCAAGGAACAGCAGTTTAGGGCGTCTTGCTCGATGGCGTTGGTGTTTTCATGCAGTGCACATGCCAGTCTTCAGGGGCAGACTGTCCAAAAGCATGGCTGAGTTTGCCGTGAAGTCAGCGGCAAACCTTCGGGGTTTTAAGTTTAGGGATTTGAGTAGAGTCTACACCCTGAAGGAAGCCTTCCTGCTTTCCGAAGGCCTCTACGCCGGAGCTCATCAAGCAGGCAGTGGCTGCCGAGCACCCAGCAGACTTGCCATAGACTTGCTGCAGCAGAAGACACTCCTGCTGGGGGCTGTTGGGGGGGTGTGCTTTTTATGTTCTAGAATCTTGTGACCGACCGTCGGATCGGGTTGCTGATGCAGTCATTCGTAGCACTGTCGTGTTTGTGAAGATGCGTGAAGCATTGCGCCCAAGAAGTCACCTGGCGGCCAGAAAATGGTTGGTCTCGCAATCTGAGGTAGGTGGGCCGCTAGCAGATGCCACCAAGGACAAGTGGGCCTCTTGGGCTGAAGAGTCAGGGTTTAGGGCTTAGGGTTTAGGGTTTGGGGTTTAGGGTTTCTTTGGTTGACTTCGGCCATGAACTGTTTGGGACTGTGCAGAGAAGGTCAGTCTTCTTCAGGTCTCAGGATTCTTGCAGCCGCTGATTGGGCTGAGAAGGTTGGCTTTGGATTTTTGGGTTCGAGGCAGATGGTGTAGCGTTCGAATGCTGGTGTGAGCTTTCAATTTCGTTCCCGGGGTTTGAGGTGCAGGGTTGGTACCCGCGCCTGTGGCTGCTGCAGCGCTGCATGTAGAATGGCAACTTACGTGACGTCCGTGTGTGCAGGTTTTGTAAATCTCAAGTTTGGCAGTTCGTGTTTGTAAGTTGTAACCGCGTGGCAGAGTTGGCCAGACAGAAATGTGGCATGCGCTTCTGCCAAGTGCGCCGAAGGTCCACGACCAGGCAACCAAGCTGTACTTCAAGTACGACACACCGACTCAGAAGAAACCCGGCGAAATGCTACGGATTGTGATGTTTGGGGGGGAGACCCCATGAATCGCTCGAGCTTGGCTTGGGCCGAGCGCATTTGTTTTTCTACGTAGTCGTGGCCCTTCCTTTAGCGCCTTAGCATAGCTTTGGGAGGTTGCATGCGCTTGCTTCACCCTCCCTGGCAAGTGAGTCGCAAGGACAGATCCCTTGCTCCTCCAAAAAAAGTCTGCTTTCTTGGTCTCACAACCGGGCATTCAGCTGACACCTGGCTAGTCCCCAAACCCTAAGTCCAGCTCCATTTTGACATCGCCGAACCTTGAGTAGCTGGAACTTGGTATCCAAGGATGTACTGCTGGAACTCCTCTCAAGGCACGGCTGCATATCAGCAGAGTAGATGGATGGAGATGGGCCGATCATTCGGACATAATCTGGCGTTTCGGCAGGCAGCACCAAGGAAGCTAATTTCAAGGGAAAAGGGCTCGACCCCACTACAAAGACTGTACGCTTTCCAAACCATTGATCCATCCTGCGTCGCCGAAAGCCGAATATTGCAGGCTGCATGTACCACTGGAAGGACGGGGTGCGTGCAACATGCGGACATCGCGAGCTTCACAACCATGGCGCATGCCTGGCACAATGCGAAGCCAATCCCTAAACATGGAATGAATCTAGAAAATATTCCCCAAGATCCCTAAACCGTTGCAGGAGCGTGGCAAGATGACCTTTCTCTGGGCGTCACCGGGCTCCGTGGGAGCTGCGCCGCCAGCAGCGGTCCAGGCTGGACAAGTAGCGGAGTTTTGTCAGCTTCCCTTATCCGGCGACTTTGGGGATTCTATTTGTTGTGTGCTTTGCGTCCAAGACGAATTGCAAGTGTCGCTGAAGTTCTGAGCATTTTCGGCGAGGTTTGGGTCTCCGGGCTAAGCCTTGTGCAGGACTTTCTGGAAGTTGTACTAGCCTGATTGCACTCCATGACTGGATCCAATCATCCCTTGTAATCACTATACAGTAATTACCCCCAAAAAACCATTGTGAATGAGATGTTCTTGTGATTATACAAAACACTATGTTGCACCTTCGTCGCGCTGACTTCGGTCCGCATTACCTCAGAGGACCATTCTGCCTTAAATCGGCACCTAAATGGAGAAATTCCGAAATTAGAGGTATCTTAGTGGGGGCCTTCTTATAAGGGGGTCCTACTATTAGGGGATCTACATTGGGGGTCCCTATTTTCGTTAAACCCCATATATTACGTTCTCTATAGAAGACTGAAATCCGGGTCGGACGGGAACGCTCTCTGCATGTTGAAGAATTTCGCCTGCACGTCTAGTGCCAAGCGAAGTCCCACAGAAAACTGCCCCAACCTAAGACCTGAGATGCCACCCACTGATGTTTATGAACCGATGAGTTTTCGACATCGAGTCTGAGGCTTCATCAGCTCCGCCCGCAAATCCTAAACCCTAAACTAGAGGGTCTGCCAGGCGGGTGGCATTAAAAAAAACACGCCCTAAACTGCAGAATCTGCAGGGTGAGCTGTTTAAAAGTCTTCCGGAGGGCCGTCCTCCCGAGGGTTCATGATGAAATCCTAAAACCCTGATTCCTAAAAGTCTCGGCCCAGTGCCCCGAAACCCTAACCCCTAAACCCTAAACCCCCCAAAAACCCCCCCAAGACCCCCCCAAAACCCAAAAGGACCTAAACTCCAGGCAGCACCTACAGTGGATCCTGGAGCAAAAGCCGCCGAAACTCCGGCACCAGCACCGGAGATTAGCTCCCTGGCCCCTCAAGAAGGAACGTTTTAGGGTCTGGGTTCAGGGTTTAGGTTTGATTTCTCTACTCTTTGCTTAAGCACCCCCCCAACAAAGATTCTTCCTTGTAACGGCAAGAAAGGGATTATTATCTTGTAGTTTTTCGGGGGTTCTTAACGAAATAGTAGCTACAACTCAGGGTTCAGAGTTCTGGGGTCGGGGCTTGTAACAGTCCAGCATTCTGCGAAGCTCATCCGACAAAGCATGCTTGAATGATGTGTGTGGCATGAGACCAGAAGACAATGAACGTCCTCTTCTCATCTTTCAGGCTTGCAAATAGCTGGAGGGGTATCCGGCCATGGACGTCGGGCAACATTGAGCAATCATCGGGGAAAGAGTAAATCTATGCCGCCATCAAACCCAGAGGTAGCTTGTTCTATGTCAGGGGGCGGATCTATATTAGGATCCCCTTTTTGGCGGCGCCTGTGTAGAACAATTCAAGAAAGTTGCAGCTATGTGGGCATATGGATTGAACCTCAGTGTGGCGCTGCCACACGACAAACCTTGCAGCTTTTGATCCTTTGTCGCCTGTGCATGCAACATCTGCCTTTGACATAGACTGCATGTGCTGTGTCCCCCACCCCCCCTCAGTTCGACAGAAAGGTGATGGCGCCTCTCTCTGGGTGACAGTCATCCCTCCCTCTGTCCTGGCATCCGCCCCTTGGCCATTTCAAGCTTGCTTCAGGGTTTGGTCGAACCGGTACGTGCACCATGCAGTCTTCCTCTCTTGCCTTGCGCTCAAAATAGTAGACAGAGGCACGGCACTATGAAAACGAGGAAGAGTAATGTCGCAATTTCGGGTCTGATTTAGGATCTAGCTTCTTTTGGAATCTGGCTTCTCTAGGAATCTGTGCTCCGCAAGATCTACACGTGCTGCAATGCTCGACCGGGGGGAGGGGGGGTAGGAGGGCCTTGGATGTTGATGCATCATGAACCCTTTCCGGCGTCTGACAGTCAGAGCCAAACGCCTGTCCAGGCACCGTCAAGGGTTCAAGCCCTTTCTTGCCTCCTTCCTTGCATTTTTCTTTCTGAATCTAGATAAGAACATGAAGAACAAGCTCGCAACAGCAACTTTTGTACAGCTCACTGGCCGTTTTCAGTGGTACCCCTGCCGGAGGTAGCTGTAGCACTAGCAACAGGATTGGCACGAATATCAACAGCATGCACCCAGCCCAGGATTTCGAAGATGCAGATGCTCAGGCGCTGGCGGACAAATATGAGATGTTGACCGTCGATGGTTCTTTCCGTTCGGCCCACCTTGGATACTAGAATGCCTCCTACCGCCCCAAACTCACTTCCCGGGCATATTAACTCAGATCTTTCTGTCGAGTTCAACAGGCCCCCTTTGTAGCTGTACCTTCTCCTGCCATGTGCGAGAGTGTGCTACCTGCAGCGTAAATCTGACTTAAAGCCATATGAGTCCTTAAGGATGACACGAAACCCTGGCAACGGCCCAAGTTTGCCTTCAGCTCCAGTCGACTCGCCGTGACACCCTCGCAGCGCCATGGCCCCCATGAAGAGACTCATCTCCCGAGGCTCTAAGGGCAAGTACCGCAAGATTGACTATGACCGTGTGAAGACCATCAAGGGCAAGAAGTACGACCGCACGATTCTCAAGGCCGCGGACATCGCAGTGAAGGGTGCAGGGGACGGACGCATCTCGCAGAAGGATGCCAAGATCATTTGCCGGGCCTGCCGTCCCACGAAGGATGGCCGCTCCACGTACTCGGCGATTGAGAAGACCACCATGGCCTACGTGCGCAAGAATTACAAGTTCACCGACGCGGGGGACAAGGCCGTGCGCGGCTTTATCGCCAAGATGGGAGCGAAACAGGCTGCCCGGACCAAGGCCATGAAGGCGATGAAGGCCATGAAGGCCATGAAGGCCATGGCAGTCATGAAGGTGATGAAAGCCATGAAGTGAAGGTGACGACCTGCATCAGGGCAATTCCCATACTTCCGATTCGGGGGTTCCTGGGCGGGGATCTATGGGTGTGTCGTACTTCTCAGGGCTATCTATAAATATATATATATATATATACATACATATGTACAGCATTTTGATTTTTATAGTAAAGTATAGATGGGGGTATTGGATTTGCTTCTGACGCTGATGGTGGCGAAGCCTATAGAGCGTGCTGGAGAAGACAGCTTCTGCGGCTGTTGGTGCAGAATGTGTTGTTGGTGGGCTTCGTTTACGTCGTAAACTTCAATGAATTTTGAGCAACAATAAGACCGGTCTCGCGCGCTTGCACCATGCCGACAGAGCCATCTTAGGGCAGGCTCCCATATCGTTTTCCCTTAGCTGACGTGCGCAACAGACATTCTGGCCCTGAAGCCTCGTCTGCTGCGCCGAGTTGTGAGCGATCATCATTCCCGAAAAAAGTTTAAATCCGACGACGAGTGGCTTGTGTCAACTGGGATCCTCGGCTCATCAACCTTTAGCGGCTTCTAGGATGCATGCCATATATGCTAGCCCTTTGCGAGGCTGAGGAGGAGTTGGAGCTCAACGCCAAGGCCATGGGCGCGGTCATAGGCAAGGGCGGCAAGGGCATCAAGGAGATCGAGCAAGCTACAGGCAGAAGGGCTCATGGTCTAGGCTTCAAGGATTTAGGGTTGACAGTAATAAAGAGTGAAGAGCGATGCTTTTCCAGATTTCCTTGTAGTTACGAAAGCGAGAAGTACATACTGGCAGCATACGGTGACTTCCTGCAGCGCTGATCTTGGCTAGGCATCAAGTCAACGTCCCTGGATGCGAAGTGCGGCTCTCAGTTGTTGGCGGGTAGAGAAGACTGCCAAAATCCGCTCTCCCAAGCCTTGCAGTGTTGCAGCTGCTCTTTCCGGTGCATTGTACTTGCTCTCGGGTTCGAGAGAGAAGTTGCTGGAGTGCGCAGGTCATCCGAGGGTGGACAGCTGCGTCGGCTGGTGCTCCAGGGCACGCGAGCGCAAATCACGCAGGCCCGCAAAGTGACCTCTATATGAGTATATATGTTACATCATGTTATGTTACATAAATATCTCAGCTCACTAGTACTTGAATCGACACCACGCATCCCCAAAATCAGACGAATATGGGGCGGAGAAACCACCGGAAGTGTTCCACGCGGCACTGGAGTGAAGGCAAAGTCTGCGGTGGAGCAGCGCATCGTCATGGTGTGTCCTGGTGCAGATTTTCAATGCAAAAGAGTAAGACCCAACAATACCCTAGCATACCAGAAGCATGTAGCAGCCACCTTCAGCTAGTACCCTCAAGTGCCCTCCTCACGTCGACTCACATCCCTTCTCACCCTCATACCTTCAAAACAAAAAGGGTTTGCCGCGAGAGTCTACCCCAAACTCGAGTCAATGAAGCCTGAAAGAGCCCAGGCTGGGCCCCAAGGCCGCGGAAAAGGCCCCCGGATTCTTTGGCGTTTTGTCGACTGTTTTTTCGGGTTTAAAGTTTTGTGGTTTGGGGTTCTAGGATTCCGGCTTTGGGCTTGGCTTGAGGGGCCGAGTAAAGTCTTAAGGATGTTTGGGGTTTGTTCATGGTTTACGAATTGAGTGGGAACATTCAGAAGTTCAGGGAATGAAGGCTTCAGGGCTAGGAGGAGTATCCACGTCTTTTATCATTCTTTATCTCAACGGGTTGGTCTACTTATACTTGCAGTAGCCCTCAGCTGGAAGGTTTACAGAGTTCCGAGGATAAGTTTATTAGGTCATTAGGTGTTTGCGGGCAGCTCAGCTGCAGTAGAGCTTCCTTCAAGCTTGACAGACAAGATATGCAAGATTATGACCTTGACTACGATTGTCAGAAAACTGGCGTAGGTTCCTTCTAAAGGACCCTGAACCCTAAACTTAAATCAAACCTACGAGGCCCAACACTCTTCCAGCTCCAAGTTCCTATGATGATCGATTTCTAGATAGGCGTTCAGAGGGCAGAGGTGTTGGACAAGTGACAAGGTCCTCCATTAGTTGCAGGGCAGCAGTGTTTGAGCTGATGAGCTGATGCAGCTGTGTTGTGTGCACCCTAAACCCTAAACCAGAGTGAACGTGGTATGTAGCGGAGAGGTGTCGCCTGTCCGAGTCATGAGAGTATTAGATGCCAATCGCGCGAAAGAGACGGCAGAGGGAGCCGCAAGAGCTGACTTGCTACATGTTGGCCCCTAAACCCTAAACCCTAAACCCTAAACCCTAAACCCTAAACCCTAAACCCATTGATGGTTCTGATTTTCCGGCAACAGGTGCAGAAGCATTGGAGCAGCCAGCTCTTGGAGCGGAAGCGCACCGAGACGGGATCAGAACCTTGCTGGCCACTACTGCAGTGCTGTACCCTAAACCCTAAACCCTAAACCCCCCCAAAATCTCAACTCAGACAAATTTGGGGATTCATGTTTCCAGGAGCGTCTATGGTGTGACCGGATATTTTGCTTGACCTTGCCTGCTTGCGAGTATAGCTTAGACTCAGACCATGACACCTTGCCTGCCTGAGCCCGTGGCTAGGAAGCCGCGAAAAGCGGCGTCCGCGGGCTTAGCGAGTTCGTGCTGCTTGGTCAGGAAATGTGCTCTGGTGCGCCTTCCACCCTTTATCAGCCGTTTTGCTGGAAGCATTCAACATCCATGTGAACCGTAACACTGTAGCAGGCAGGAGTTGAAGACCAAGATCTGCCCCAACCATGCTCTCAACCGACATGGAAGGCTGCATCACGGCTTGAAGGCAGTGATGGCGAGGTGGCATGCGCGTTTGCAAGTGTGTGTGTGTGTGTGGGAATTTCACATGGAAATTTGGCTTGTTAAGTGTTTCTCACTTGAAGCAAAGTGGCGCACCATTCTGAAGGGGGGGGAGTCTGCACGAGAAGTCACAAACAGGTCGAATCATTGAGGCACGGCTCTAAGCCATGTAGCGGCCCAAAGACTTAGGCAGCAACTCGTTGGCATTGGTAGACGTTTCCCTTTCGCATGTGAATGCCGCGCCCCAGCAATCAATGTGCCGACTTCTGCAAGAAGTTTCTGTCTTCCGCTGGTGTCACGGCATGTGCCTTGATGGTCCTGCGGAACTTGAGGATGACGGCAACTCCAACAACTGGTGATCACTTGAACATTCGTGGAGGCGAACCGAGACGCTCTCAGGAGATGGGCATTGATCCCGTTGATCCTTACCCGACTTCTCCCGTCCTCCCCACACTCTCTCCGGTTCGGACATGGCAGACCATACCTACCGGACCTACCGTGCCAGCCATGGACATGGCCTTTAGAGCCGACCTGCAGACTATTGCTGCTGCCACTACTGTGGCACCATCCCCTGAGTTTAGGAGCTCCATGGCGCCCCAAGCCACCCAAGTCTCTGCTCCGCATGTGGAGCGCGGGCCAGCGGCTGCAGTGGCTGTGACAGCAACGGGCTTCACCTACAACGGCCACTTCCTGCACAATCTCAGCTCCAAACGCCCTGGTTGCCGTGGCTGCTGCAACTCAGGTGCAGAAGTGGTGGGCTGCTTTGATGTGGAGAGATGTGCCCTAGAGGGTCCAAGCAATGGCAAGTTCGCCTTGGTTCTGAGCCACTGGGGGGTGCCCAGCGAGGGCATGCTCCAATCCATCACGAGCATGAAAGCTGCAGCGATGGCTGCCAATTCGGCAGACATCCTGCTCATTATACTTCAAAAGGATGCCGATCGTACCCCGCACAAGATTCAGAAGCTGCTTAGCAAATGGGAAATTAAGGTTCATGTCGTAGACTGGGACGTGCCCCCTGACTCCATGTTCTATCCCAAGCACGACTGGTGCGGCCACCAAGATCTGATCCGTTTGCATGTCCTGGGCTTGGATGCATACGACGCCGTGGCCTACTATGATGCGGATTGCGAGTTTCAGGGCGACGTCACCCCCATACTGCGCTGCGCCGCCACAGGGAAGTTGCTGACGACCAACGGCGGCGTGGGGGAGTCGCTGAACGTGGGCTTCATTGCTGTGAGGCCCGACAAGCGACTGCTGGAGGCAGCACGGATCTTTGCCCGCAAGAACAACTTCTCCGTGCAGCATGGCTGGGGAAATTCTGGCTGGAAGCCCTGTGGCGGCTACTTTGTCGGAGGTGAGTGTGGCCAAGGCTTCCTGTACAGCCTCTTCTACTCCAAGAGTCCGGCTGCTCAGCAAGCCCTCAAAGGTGCCGGAGTCTGGCAAAACGGCATTGTTGAAGCTGCTCAGGTCGACCGCTGCATCTGGAATTACCAAACCAGCTATCAGTGCCGAACCGACTTCAACTGTGAGAGGGTCCGTGTGCATCACAAGCCGACCAAGGAGCGAGGAACGGACAAGAACGAGTGCGAGAAGCTCCGGTACAGGGAGAGGCGAAAGGAGCTGGCCCGCAAGAGGCGCGAACAACAGAAGCTCGCAGGAGTGGAGGGCCAGAAGGGCTCGGAGGGATCAGAGGGTATCTTGCTACGGCACTCGGGCGGCTTGTGTCTTCGACCTTCAGATGGTGACTTTGGGGAAGGAACGCTGGTTTTGCTGCGGGACTGCGCCACACCACCCGTGGAACACAACCTGCGCATGGGACCCGTGGACGCAGACGATGACGATGAGGAGTCCTTGGGGACGGTGCAGCTGCGCCTGGGTCGGCGCTGCTCGCATCCCCGGGGAGATGACCTGGATGTGGGCCCCGAGGAGCCGCGCCTGTCGTTTGCAGATGACTGCTCGGCGCCGCACAATTTCATCTTCAAGAAGCTCAAAGCCCAGCTTCCGAATGGCTTCTTGCTTCAGCACACAGCTTCCAGGAGTTGCATCCATCCATTCGAGGGCTCAGAGCAGCCGAGAGTCGGGACCGAACTCTTACTGCATTCCGACTGCTCCGTGGGCCGGCGCGCGCTGACCTTCCTGGACGGAGCGGACAGGGGCCCCGAAGCGCGTGAAAGTCATGAAAGCCCCAAGGTCGAGCACCACAAAGCGCCCTGTGAGTACATGAAGGGCAATCCGCAAAGTTCTCGTCCTGGCAAGCCCTGTATTCCTCCTGCAAAGTTTTGGCCGTACAAAGGCAAAACCGATTGGAGGATAGAGCTTGGCCAGCGCATCCTGGATGCCGTGTCGCCGGTCATCCGTGAGGATCAGTGCGATGGCTTTTTCTTGTATGGTGATGTCACGTGGTGCAACAAGGCTTTCGGAGGAGGTACGCCAGCTCTGCTGGGTTTGTCCTATGGCATCGAGGAGAGAGACATCTGGAGCGAGCTGATCAGTCAGAAGAAGCTTCCCACAAAGCTTTACGATTGCTTTATCCCTCCAGATAGATCTACACCCATAGCAGGGATTGCACCTAACGGCACGCGACCTTGCAAGGGAGTGGAAAACAAGCCCTGCTACACGACGCGATACGAGTCCTACAGGATCTGCTTGGGCGCTGTGGCCGGCATGGTCGATGGCCGGAAGTTTGAGAACCTCCAGTCTCACCTTCGTGGAATGCCACCACTCTCTGTGCACCTCAAGATTGACACGGAGGGTGCCGAATGGCCAGTTCTGGACTCACTCATCACCAGCAAAGAGGACATTGCCAAGATCCGCACACTGGACATGGAGGTGCATTTTGGCTGGGGGAATGCCGGGGATCCTCCAGCTCTCCAGAAGCTCTCGCAGAAGGAGCGCTTGATGATGCACGTCTCGACGATGGAAAAGCTGTTGGAAGGCTTCTACTGCACAGGCTCGACTCTCGAAGTGTATCGACAGGGATGGCGGCCGAAGGACAACTGCGATGGTGGGACCTGCAACGAGCCGCCAGTTTACGTGTCAGGTGGGTTCTCCATGGAGATGTTTGCGGTGAGCTTTGTCAATAAGGCAATGGTACAGTGATTCTGGCGGGCCGCAGATCTGGGAGTTCGAGAGCGCCTTGAAGCCCCAGTCTTCTTGGACAGAGCCGACTGTGAAAATCAGCGTTGGCATCTGCGGACTGGGAATACAATGTATGGCTAAGCTTCTTGGAACTGGTTCGGTTGATTTTCGTTACAGTGCTCCCACATTCTTTGAGGATGATAGGCCAGGCAGATCGCAGAACATTGAGGGCCTTCGATCCGTTAGCGAGAGCCACACATATGCATGCTTGGGCAGGCGACTAGCTAAGCTGGATGCCATGCTGCAACGCCCCTCGGCAACAAAGGACTTGCGTACCTTAGCCTCTGACATGCTCTCACCAACAGCCCACACTTGAGTCAGTACTGACTGCGCTGCAGGACGACATCTCTCCCCCTGATATGCAGCCACACCGTGAATCCCAAAATCTCGCTACTGAACTTCAAGGGCCCCTTTTTCTGTAATCTGATGAGGGTTCGTGCTCCACGCTTCATGGACTTTGCGCTTTTGTGCAACTGATCGGAGGTTACACCATACGGCACTTCAAGCCGATGCAACTTGCCTGAGAAAGGGGCTTTAGGGGTTTAGGGTTTAGGGTAGGGTTTTGGGTTATGTAGGTTTAGGGTTTAGGGTTGCATGCGGATGATCTGGGATGAGCACCCAAGCCCTTCAGCCCTTAAATTCCGCTCGCATTCTGCCTTCGCAGATGTGGTGGTAGTTGAAGGATCGGCCGTCGAACCGGCTGCTCAAGCTCCTACCCGTAGCACGATAGCCACAAGCGACAAAAGCGTGACCAACCGTCCTAAATCAATCGAATCTGCCAAGTGTTTTTTCCATGAGATCGCGCGTCTATCATCTTGAGCCGCCATTGTCATCATTATTACAGGTAAACTATGAAAATTAAACTATTTGTCATTAATTATTATCTTTACGATAGTAGCAATTCTTGTTCTTATTGTTGTTATGATAATTATTCCGATTTCCATCATTATTTATTTTACGATGATGATGATGATGATTATTGTTAAAGTCCCGCTGGAGCCCCCACTCTTGCAAATGCAACGCATTGCGACTTGTGAAGGAAGGCCAAGCCGGCCAACGCACTCAGAGGAGCCCTTGGTTGCATCTGGTGAGTGCAGCTACCTCTTTTTAAGGTTTAGGGTTTAGGGTTTATGGTGTGAGGGCGAAGCAAATAGGTGTGGGCAGCTGCATAGTGCTCTGTTGGCTCTAATCCCAGCCTTGTGAGAAGTTGAGTTGGGAGAGGCTCGAGGCTTCCATTTACGTCTCCTGCAGAACTGGACAGCAAGACACAACAGCTCACCAATCCACCCCACACCCCCCCCCCCCCCTCGCCCTTCCCCAAATAAAGAGCCTACCCAAGCTTGCCGAAAAATCCTCTGATTTGCTTCTTTCGCACCCTTGCGCGCCCACATCTATGCCTCCGAGCCTCTTCCAAACTCTTCTCCAAGATGCAGGATACTTGGCGTCGCTGTTCAAGTACCCGCAGCGCTGGCGGCTCGAGGCCCTCTACGAGGATGGCCGCTTGGAGGGCACCAAGAAGAACTTTGGGGTGCACAACCCTTTGCAAGGAAAGGGCCGCTGCTGTAGCTAGCTCTTGACTCAGAAAAACAGTGCTGGGGACGACCGATCCGAGGCGAGCTGGATGGTGAGATCTGTGAGACGGTTCCGCTCCGTTCCTCTGCAGCACCAGCATGGCACCATGCAACCGTTCGACCTGTTGAGGAGCAGGGTTAACACCGGGTCAGAAGTCCCAAGCCAAGAAGAACATCCCAGAGATCCCAGAGAGCCCATAGGTACCAGTGCTGTCGTTGGACGACAACGCCTCGCACCGACGGAGGATGCCGAGGCGTGCTCAAGTTTCGGAACATCGGGTTGTGGTTCTCCAAGCTGTCTGCAGTAACATGCTGCGCATGAGAGGTATGTATGCCTAATTTAGGTCATACAGCCGTCAGCCGTATTGTGTGTTCCGTCAGATGTGCAACATTCCGAATTCTGATCTGTGTTTCTGAAGATCATCACCTCAGTGCACGACTCCCCTTGTTGTTCGCACACAGCTATGTGGTTGCGTGGCACTAGCTGTTAGAAGCCTGATGGAAATGATGAAGTGGAGCAACACGCTTTGTCTTCAGAATCCACTGGAACCCACCAAGAGTCGCTGGATTATGTTTAAGCCGGCAATCTCGTCTAAAAAGAGGGCGCCGAGTAAACCCCCCCTTACATCATGCAGAACGTCGCACGCCGAGGTATGGCGGCATCTTTGTGAAGCCCTCAACCATAAAGCCATGAAGTTAATGAAGTTCCCTTTTCATGCCTCGGGCGCTTCTGGTTGCAGGAGGAGCAGATGATTGAACTGGAGGTGAGTGCCTCCTTAGGCGCTGGGCCTGGCTTCACTTCCGTTTTGCAAAGGATGTTTTGAGGGTGTCGGGGTCCCGAAACCTAGACCCTTAAGTCTTGCAAGGAGGTGGGAGTTTCATGGCTCCGTGCAAAGCATGTGTGGGGTTTTAGCGGCAGTAACTTCTTGGCCTTTGGGTGGGGTGGCGGAAAAAGGCCCCGAATCTGGAACAGCTGGGTGTGCAACAAGCCATAGGATGCAGAAGCCCGAAGCCTTAAAACTGGTACAGGTCGGCGGGTGGCAAAAAGAACGTAAAACTGCAGGGCGAGCCTTTAAGCCGATGTCAATCCAAGACGCGAAACCAGATGTGGGTGTTTCCGAAGATAGGGGGTACACTTTTGGGGGTTCCTATGGTAAGGTGGGGGAATATGAAGGGTGCCCCGATTTGAGGAAATGCCCATGTGAGGTGCCAAGGAAGCCTCCAAGCTGTATGGAGACGTTCAGGCAGGTGCGGAGAATAGGGTTGGCTGTGGTATGTCGAGAGCCTCCCGTCACCCTGCCCTCAATCCATCCAAAGAACTACATAGGGCCCCAATGCCGGAAACACAGAAATTCCACGACATTTTGGTGGTGGCAAAGTTTAAGACTTTAAGAGGCTTAGGCCGTTAGGCTGCACCTTGAGCCCTCAGAACTTGTAGGATCAGCACTGCCGCCTGCATCGGATGGGCGTCTCGGCATCGAACTGCCCGGGAGTAGGAACGTGGAAGTTGCTCAGATTATGCAAGATAATGTAACATAATTAAGTTGAAGGTTGAGCTTCTGTTTGTCTCGAAAGATGGAGTGCCAGATACTTAGCACCCGGGAATGAGGGATTGAACAGCGGTACTTCTCTAGGGCACTCTAGGGTACATCTGGGCTCGGCGTCAGAAAGACTGCCCTTAAGACACAAGAGCTGCAATTGTGCAATTGGGGGTATGACTTCGTCAGTCAAAGGGAGCAAACCCTAAACCCTAAACCCTAAAGGCAATGACTTCTACGTCATGGCCCTGGAGTCGCAGATTGGCACGTTGGTGGATGGACAGACCCTCGGGCCAAGTCTTGAAAAGGATCTCGGAGGACTCTGAGGTCTTTCTGTGCGGCTGTGTTCGTTTTTCCCCATGAAATGTCAGGAAGATTCGACACCAAGATGGCCCTGTTCCGATCCGGGATGGGACCACGTTGGGCATAGGGCAGCTTGGCGACGGACAATCCTCTTGGAGTCCTGGAGGGTGCGGGGGTGCATGGGTTGAGGGTTTATGGGTTGAGGGTTTATGGGTTGAGGGTTTAGAGTCTTCTGGCTCTTTGGCTCAACATTGTTTCTTCCTGTCTTCAGGTCATAAGCCCGCAGAATTCCACAGCACTGTGCCCGCATCCCCGGAACTAGTGGTGCGTCTCGGGCAAAATCGCTCCACGCCAACGTTCATCGGGGCATTGCGGCAACTGCCAGTAATACGTACATGGGCCTCGTATGTCTCTAATCTATAGGGCAATGCCTCTTGCAGTAGGCATGCGAGTGTGCTGGTGCAGCTTGCGCTGAAGGAAATACCTTGTATACTGCGAAGTCGGCAACGAAGCCTTTTTGCAGGACCGCAGGCTCAGTGTTGTCTTCCTGAGGCAAGAGCAAAAGTCCTTCAAACCACTGAAGGTCCATGTCATCCAGCCACGTGGCTTCGTCAGATGCGATGTGATATTGTGACGAAGAATGGAACTGGCCGCCGCAGTCGCTTTCCGCTATTCCGGAAAATTAGGCGAGATGAGGTAGGGCTGCTTTTGTTTGTTGCTGGCCAGGACAGGCGGAAGAAGCTTCTGGCCGGAGAGAGGCTGCCGGCAAGGGTATGCATGGTTGAGTTGGGAAAGAATCAAGAGGGCTTGTGAGAATGAAAGTCCGGGGAAGGAGGAGGGGTCAGCTGCAGCTTGGGTTGACCCAACGCCAGATCAAAACCGGGGGTGGGGGGGTGGGGCACACATGCAGGAGACATGTGCAGGCCGCGTTGTCCTAATTTTTATGAATAAAGCTGCTTGCGGGAAGCACATCCTTTCTCGGATGTCTTTGCAGCTGTTGCTGCTCAGCAGCGTTAAATAAAAGTCAGGGATCGATGATCTCGGTTGGCCTTGCATTGCGGGATCTGACTCTCTATAGGAGTGTCTGCAATCAAGTACAAACACTCTGCAGTCCAGCTTTGCTGAATGGGGACTCTTTCAGCCAGCCTTGCTGAACTCAAGCATCCTCTGCTGCTTCTCTATTGAACAAGGACCTCTCCTAATTTCTGTAGTGCCCCACTCCTCCCCTGAAGGGTGCTGCCACTCACGCAGGTTCTGGAAGGAAGGCAAAGCCAGCCTGCAAAAGTCGGAGGAGGCGGCCTCGCAGGCGCCGGAGTCAAAGTCTTCACGACTCACGACAGGGGTGAAGCAGGTTTGAGGTCTTTGGATTGAGAGGTTTAGGATGGGCTTTGGTTTCAGGGCTTCTCGGGTTCGAGATGGCTTGCGTTGTTTGGCGGGGCGTGTCAGTGTGCCCTGTGCAAACAGGTTATCGGGCTTGGTGTGGGATTGTTCTCTGTGTCCAGTCCAGTCTCTTTTTGCCAGCATGTGGTCCACACACTCGGCTCCCTCACAGCCAAAATCCCTATCCGGACTCAGAAGCACAAGGGGCACGAAGGGACGACAAAGCTCCAAGAAGCCTCAGTTGCCACAGCATCGCCCAGCGCAGGTGAAGCCCGAAGCTGCTGAGGCCCTGACCTTTTTGCAGTTTAGGGCTTAGGGTTTTAGGAGCCGCTTGCGAGCGCAGGAGGGTGCGGAAGCGGGCACGCAAGCTGGCGAGGGCGGAGGCCTGAAGCAAGAAGGGCCTGCAAGGTCGCAAATCAGGGGCATTATATCGAGGGGGCGTCACTTGTCAAAGAAGGGGCTTCACCGGTGGTAGGGCTTGGGGCCTGTTTCGATGTGGGCACCCATGAAGACCTCCTTTGCCCCTAGTAAATCCTCCGAAAAACCGACAACACCTCAGCCCACAATCCTAAACCTTCTTACGCAGCCCTGAAGCATGGAGGACCCCCCTTCCAAACCTCTGCCGTCGTCCATGACAGTTGCCTTACGCTGTTTCTTTGGCGTGTGTCATCTCAAGCCTCTACCATGTGAAATGCGCTGCAAGCCGCTCCAAGTAGGCCGTGTGGGTGCGGAGATGGGTAGGAGGGTGTGTCTTTGGCCAAGGTGCAGATGACGACGAGGAAGATGAAGAGGCCAGCCACGTTTTCAGGGCTGAGCGGGTAGCAAAGGGTGTCCTGAAAATTGTTCCTGGGAGCCCAACAAACACACCATGCCTGATCTAACGAAAAGCCCGCCGTGCCGGGGTGCTCCGCTGCTCTATAGACTATAGACCATGAAATCGAAGCTTGCGTTGCTGGTCGGTGCTGGCTTTGCTCAGACATGTGGCATCTCGAATGAACAGTTGGCGCGTGCGGCGCGCAATCATGCTACACGTCCCTGAGTCTTAAACAAAACCAAGCAATCTATACAGCAAAAAGCTACCTGACACCTGCTTATGAGAATCTGAAGTGGCACTTTGTGCAGGCGCTGGATGTCCTCTTCACCGCACCTCCAGAGGCTGATGAGGCACTTTGCATGCACATCAGAAGCAGTCTCAGGCCAAGCCGTGTTTGGTTGAGGGCATGTGCAAGGAGGGATCGGGGACTCGGGGGGAGGGCTGCAGCAAGGCTTGTGTCGGGGGATTTGGCCTGCTGCAGTTTTGGCATTGCTTCAGCTTGTCTGTAGCCTTGTGTAGTTTTTCTGGGGGCGAAGCCGCTGTTCTGCGGCCTGTTCTTGCTTCTCTTTTTCTTGACAGATGAGAACCCTTAAACGTCTGTCACCTCAAGACCGTCGTCCTGGCTGTTGACACTGTTCGGGGAAACAGGGCCTGGAAGTCGTGCAGTTGTCTTAGCAGACAATGCTTCTGTGGTAGCAGCAGTAGCAGTAGCAGCAGCAGCAGTAGTAGATAGTAGTAGCAGCAGGAGTATAGGAGCAGGAAAAGGAGTAGAAGCAGGAAAAGGAGTAGAAGCAGGAGCAGGAGAAGCAGTAGGAGTAGGAGTAGTAGCAGTCCTAGTCCTCGTCGTGGTCGTGGTCGTGGTCGTCGTCGTGGTCTTGCTCGTGCTGGCGCTCGTCGGCATGGACGTCGTCGTCGGTGTCATCGTTGTGGAAGAAGAAGCAGCAGCAGTAGCAGCAGCTTACTTGCCACTACTTGTACCACGACTTGATACCACCGGTCAACAACAACAGCAATTTTCTTGTGGCAATTTCTGTTGGCAGCAGTCGCCTTGTTACCAGGACGCATTTATTATGTGTGTTTGAAAGGGTTTTAAGTGTGATTGGGCATGGTCGAGTTATCCATGTAATGCCGATGAGTATGCCATGTTCGAGGACCAAGAGATGAAGCCGGATGAGGAGTCCAAGAAGAGAAAGCGGGAAGAGGCAAGCAACCCAAATAGCTCATGATCCAACTCACGAGCTGTCTTGCTCTTTTGCAGCATGCAGCCTTCTGCTTTCAAGCTCCCACCGGTTTGCTTGCGCACCCCAAAGACTTCAAAGCTCAGGTTTTTTTGTTCTCTACCATGCCTGAATTCTGGACCTCCATAACTGGATGAGGGGCTCCAGGTGTGCTCTGTAACTTGAGGTGGAAGCACATGGGACCTGGGACAATCATTGGTGGCCATGGCCAAGACAAAGCATTAGCAGAGAAGGACCAGTTTTGAGAACCAATGGCGGACCAGCTCGGTGTGCTCAAAGAAAGGGTGACGTTGCACTCAAGAATGGGCAAATCGACGACGCGGAAAATGTTACCTACCTCCTTGCGTTGGGAGCAGAGCACGCCAGAACGATCACCCGATGTAGATGCGATACTGCACTGTAGTTTGCAAATCTGTCGTTCTGTGCGCACTTCCTGGAGCCGCACAGTCAGCTCTGCGAAAAAATGCGCAACTCTGTTTGTATGTTCATGCCACCAGGTATCAACCCAAGCGCTGAACTGGCTTATGCTTGTTCTTGGCCCCCCCATGTTGCCCCAACCAACATCACGTGACCCTACGATTGCAGCTTCTTGGTGTTCAGTCTCTCCCTACCTCTTTTTTCAACAGGTTTGTTGGGCTACCCCACCATGTTGCACTGAGGTGGACGATGCACCGATGCCTTCAGCCGTCGTGGACGAGGTCGCGGGACTTAGGTTGTGAGCCTGCCACCCATCCTTGAAGCTTGACTTCCACAGCAAATCCGAGCCTGCGCGACCTAAACCCCAGCCTGAATCTAATTCTGCTGTGCCGGCATTGCAGAAGACACTGTGGGCCACGGCGCCCCGCACGTTGATCGTCTTTGGTTAGGTCGAAGAGCTCCCGGATGTGGGCGAGAGCCTAGCCGCAACTTGGACTCGGAGAAAGCATTTCGTTCAAGGAGTGGTGTTTGCAATTAACAGGGCTGACGTTAACATTGCCTACGGACTGGCATTCGTGTCTTCATATTAGGCACGCTCTCGTCATGTGCAGACCATGCACCCATTGCGAGGCGATGTTGCAGTGAGGGTTTCAGCCCAACTTTCAACGTTTAAGCCTTAGAACACAGGTGTCAACATTTTGCCAAACAGCCCAAAAAGGTGCGCCACGGAGACCTTGCTCAAACGTAGCCATGTGCCGACCGAAGGCGAGGCATAACAGCAAAGAAACGTTTAGGGTTTTGCAAAAGGGTTTAGGGGAGCTGCTGGCGCCCGAGGCTCGCTGCAAAAGGGTTTAGGGTTTAGGAAGAGTGATTTTTTCCCTTGGCTGGCACAGCCTGATATGCGGTTATCTCGACTGGGTGTCTTTGCAACCCTGCAGTGTGGTGCGAGGCAGCGAGGCAGGTGGCAAAGAACCGTAAACACCCCACTGAAATATCTGGGGGTTTACAAAAACAAGGTACCCCTTAAATCCCCTTAGCAGAGCCCCCAAATAGTCGGGTTTTGTTTGTAATAAGGACCCCAATAAGGTACCCTTACCCATCTAATTGCACTGCTTGATGAGGCAGCGGCTGCCTAAGCAGGAACCACCCCGCACTGAGCGTTGGCTGCAGTTTGTTTCAGGGAGAGGAGGGGTTCTGAAGATCTTGGGGCTCAAGCTGCGTTCCCAACACGTCTCAACCCAAAACCCTGGCTTATCCGAGCTGTGAGGATGTCAATCCTAAGCCCCAAGAGGCGGAAACCATCCCGTCAGGGTCGAAACTGTCTAGACCCTGGTTCCGAATGCCTTGGGTCTGCTGAGGGTTCAAACCCGTGAACCGCTCAAACAGTCGGACTCTGAGTTTCAAGACGCCGTGCACAGGATCCCGTGGGCTTGGCCAGCACAATACAGGTGCAAGGAGCCTTTCGAGGCTTGTGGCCTTAAGAGCCTTCGGGCTTAAAGAACAGGGATATGCTCCAACCCAGAGACCGTGCAGTGCGATCCGGAGAAAAGGAGAGAAGGGCTCTGAGTCCCACCCGGGAGAGTTTTAGCAAAAGAACCAGTACAGTCCGCAGGCTCCACATCCTCGAGACACTTGTTCGTTGATGCTTCATGTATTCCATGTCTGCATAGAGCAGGCTGCCCAGCAGAAGCAGGCTTGGCGAGGCCTAAGCACGTGTGCACATCTGAGTGCTCGGCAAGGGAGAACGGGCCCAGTTGGAGTCCGTTCTGCACTGAGCCACTGAGAGCTTCCGAACTTTAGACGACGAGGGCGAAGTTTGTCTAGGTCCTAGGCAAATGCCGCGGAATCTCACGTCAGAATCCATCAGCTTACTTGTACAAATTAAATACATATATATATATATATGTCCATCACGATCAAGTCCTGTGCCACTTGCGCAGACAGAACAGACGCCTAATTACATGCAGCCCATGCACATCTAGACAAAAACACAACGAATAGCTCTGTTCTTCAGGTCTTGTTTCCCTTTGCTGGTGCACAGTGAAAAAGCGGAGGCGTGCCATACTCGATCGGCTGACGACTGCTCTAGCACGGGCCCTGGACAGACCTGTCAACGAAACTGCCACATGCATGTCCGACCGGCTTTGTCGTGATTAGCAGCCGGTTGAACTCTGAATCTTCCCAGAGTGTATTATGGAATTAGGTACTCCAAAACCCTATTCAGCATGGTTTTGGGGTACCGAATTCAACAATAGGAATACAAATGGACCCTCTGGGTTGTGAGTTCGGAAACAGCGCCCCAGAGCCAAACTTTCTGCAATCGAGTTCAAGATTCAAGCCCCGAGGTTTGGGAGCAGCTGACTTTGCAGGAGCTACGGCGAGAGTGCCAGGCACGTGATGCAGCAACCTCGGCTTCTGTGCCCACGGCCTCCTGCATAGCTGTTTGAGTCGATTTGACCCATGGAAGGGTCAAAAACGCTTATCTTCACTTATACTTTCGCGCAGAAGTCATCTCCTGATGTCAGAGTGAGTTACAGGCAACCCTAAACCCTGAACCAAATAAGTCCACTTGTTTAATGCTTCTTTCCAGTGGGCGCATTTTTTGAAACCTCCCTCCACCCTGAAGTTCTTTTTGCCTGCACGAATGTATTGGGTTTAGGGCTCACGCTTCCAGAGCCCTACGCACCAAAACAGCACAGCCCTAGCAAAGGTCGTCTTCACCGGCTTGCGTAGCCGAAGTGAGGCGGAACAACGGCAAGAGCTGGGCGCTTGGATGCGGGGTTTAGGTCTTCAGTTCTTCCGGTCGAAACTTCCTGGATTTTTAGGGTTTGCCCGTGTTCGCTCGTTGTCTTTACCTCGCTCTCATTCAACGATTAAAGCCGTAAGTTCATTCCGGAGCTTCAGGACCACTTTCAATGACTCCTGAAGACAAAATCTGGCAAGGAGCGAGCGTTCTTCTTGATAATGTGTTTTTGGGGTTTGCTCGTTCACTTCGTCCATTATATTTCCGAAATGCCGCTGTGTGTTCATTCGTTCGCGAAATAGACAGCTGGAAGAACCAGCACTTGCTCCAACATGAAGTTTTCAGCCTCTAGGAAGACAAGAGAACCATGAGGAAGCAGCCCAAGCTTTACAAAAAGCAATGTCAGCACTCTGAAACCCAAAATCCCGCGATTCCAACCGGCGAGGCTTTGTGAACGCCTCTTCGTGAATGCCACGACCTCTGATTGGCCATGGGTATGCGGGTTTAAGTTGCAAATCGCCCGGTTCTTTGCAGAGTCTTTTGCAAGGGTTCTTGGCACTTTAGGGAAAGCACGCTGGTCCCTTGCAAAGTCCTTGTCAAGAGCCCATACTCATTTTGCAGACATGTGCCGGGCTTGACAATGTCCAAGACTGTTCCAACGAGGTTTGCCACACTGCATGGGAGACGCAGGGCATCCCCGCACGGGCCTTACATCCAAGGGATCAGGGTGTCGGGTGTAGGGTTTGGGGTTAGACTCGACACGATTCCGGGTTTGTTGGGTGATGCGACTTGGTTCCCAAGAGGTAGTTTGGGCCTAGCACTCATGCGACCAGCACTGCTACTAGCTCCCATCGGGCCAAAACCTCGCACAGCATTCATCCTGTAGTGAGTTTGGCCAGGATGCCTGCAGTATAGTCTGAGACCCCAATTCGAAAGCATGGTCCTGATCCAAAAGGCTGCCATGATGAGCAGCCTCACCGTAGTAAAAGCCGAGGTGAAGCGTTTTGGAAGTGGTGCTGCTGCCGCTAAGGTCGTCGAGAGGCCACGTAGTGTTTGCAAGGTTTTCGGTGGCAGAACATGTTGATGCTTTAGTTTTGGATGTCGGAAATAAGTCACAAGTGTACGTGATATGCCCCTTGTTGCACTGGGGATGTCAAAGTAGCCCTGTGTGTCCCGTCTCCCGGACGTCCCCAAACCCATGCGCGACTCGATCCAACCTTGTTTGAGTCATGCACTGAAAGCTGGAAAAAACCCTGTATAGTTGAAACCCTAAACCCCAATCTCCCTTTGAGTAGTGTTGTCGGCGTGGTTGCGGGGCTGCTCGGCAGAAGGCAAAAATCCTAAACCAATAGTCATGCAGTCTGAATGCCGGCTATGGAGTTGTAAGCATAATGTGGAGATTTCTTTGGGTCTCTCGACTAAAATACCCATGTAGTGCTGTTGTTGCGAATGATAGGACACAAAAAGGTTTCCTGGCTTTCTGGTCAGCGTCAAACTGAAGTTGCCTGAACTCGAAACACATTCGGCTTCTTTTGCCTTGTTGTCCGACTTCTCAATCTGTTTGGGTGATGGCTCAAAGGAACCATAAACCCTATACACCCTAACCCCTGAACCCGAAACCCCAAGCATGATCTTAGAGGGAGGGGGGGGAACTCTAATGGGTGATGGCTCAAAGGAACCATGCACCCTATGCACCCTAACCCCTAAACGGCCCTCAACCCTAAACCCTAAACCCTAAACCCTAAACCCTAAACCCTAAACCCTAAACCCTAAACCCTAAACCCTAAACCCTAAACCCTAAACCCTAAACCCTAAACCCTAAACCCTAGCCCTAAACCCTAAACACTAAACCCCATGATCTTAGAGGGAGGTGGGGGGGGAACTCCAGGATGGCTCAGCTGGTCGAAATGACGGTGGAGGATCTGCAGGCTCGGCTCAACTTAGCCTTGGTTGGAGCTTGTGGCGATTCAAAATGGTGTAGTCTAGGTTTAGGGTTTAGGGTTTAGGGTTTAGGGTTTAGGGTTTAGGTTTCTAGGGATACTAGGGCTCATAGGGATATTTAGGTTCCTTGGTTGTTGCCGGAGCTTCTTGCGTGCACAAAAAATGATGCAGTCCAATCCAGATTCCGCACATCCTTGAGGTTGAGTTCAAAGCCCTGAACATTCCAGCAGAGGCTCGGACACTCCGTTGTTTTCAGGCAGAGCTCTAATGCCATTGTGAGCTTCCAGTGCACAGTGTACCGAAGCACCAGATACTTCCAGAACCACTAATAGACAGTCGTCGTGTTTTGTGCTGACGTCAAAGGCTCGGCTCCTGAATTCTCCACATGAGGCTCCACAGCCCAGCACGAAGCGAGACTTCCTTGCCCTGTTGGAGAAAGTTGCCATGTGGCAGGCCCTTGGGTGAGAACTGAATTTGCCTAGTATCTCCCCTAAATTAGGTTCCCTTGTGGATATACTGTACCCATCATGACAAGCCCCCATATCTTGGATCCCTATATGGGCCATAACTTAGACAACTCCTTCGGTTGAGGGGGAGCGGGCGGCAGCGTGCCGTGGTTTAGCTCGCTTCCAATTGTTGGTCTTCTGTGGATGAATGTGCATTTCTAGGGTTGACTGACATTGCAGCATAGCTTCATGGCTTCTAGAAGGAAGCGGTGGTGTTGTTTTCTTCCATAAAGACAGTGCGATGCGATTCGGAATCTGGAGATGCTCGAAAAGACTCAGATGAGGGTAGAGGTCATTTTCGGCTCTGTCTCTCGATCTTACTTTGGTATGTCGGTGTTCTCTTTCATAGCCATGGTCACCAGATGTCTCCTGAAGGTCTAAACACCTGGCCCCAACAACATCGTCGTCTTCCTGACAGCTACCGTTTGCAGCGCAGCCTCACGTCACAACTGATGCAGGAGATGCCACTGAAGGAGCTCCAAAAGGATTGCCGCGAGATGGAGGTCCCTTGCAGAGAAGATCGGTCTCGAAAAGTGGCTTAGAGGACAGGCTTCGAATTTGAGTCCATGCGTAGACCTTGCTTAGCCACTTGCCTCTTCGTGTTGTCTTCACCCTGCAGCTTGAGGATGCAGAGCAGAGATGCCCTGGAACCTCCTGGTAGGGACACAGAATACAATGAATCTGTTATCTGGTGTCTCTTCACCGAAGAAACTGAAACTCGAGCCCTTCTTTCAGGTGTCGACGAGCAGCTTGTCGGGCGTCCGCCTGGCCGATGCAGAACACCGGAAGGAGCGCTCCAGGGCTCAATTATGGCTTCCAAGGCAGAGACTTCACCCAGGAGCACCATGGCTTGCTTGCATGGACCCTAAGCCCGAAACCCTAAACCCTAAACTTTAAACCCTAAACCCTAAACCCTAAACCCTAAACCCTAAACCCTAAACCCCAA